GACACCCCCCACCCCACAGAATCAAAATCAGGGTTGAATAAATAAAACAATACCCAATGCTACTATAGCTAGTATGCAATCACTACCTCAGCAATTTTTGAAAAAGTCGCCAATTTGCTGGCAAACCTAAGGTAAAAATTGCGCTCCAAACTTCAAGATCCATACTAGATTTTGTATGTTTAATCTTAAGATAGTGAGATACTCTGAGTTTTGCAGCATATTGATAGTAATCATACTGTCACGAGTCTATTCTGTTTCAAATATTTGATATATAGTTATGTACTTGTAGCCATTTTCATGTACTTGTAGTCATTTTCTAGTATATTATCCAAACAACCAGTGATCTGTACTCAGTATATGTGTATGTGTGTGTATATGTGTACTACTACTACTAGTATCTGTGTGTGGTAGAGAAGGTGGGTGGGTAGGGGGGGGGGGGGTGGCACAGAAAGAGTGATAAGACCAGAAAACAAAACCTTAAAGTTTACATTTTCTTTGGTGAACAAGCTTGATCACCATAATGGTATATCATAGCAAATTGCCAATTATGCAATGTTTTCACAATGTTTAATTCCTGGTAAGTCGAGTTATCATATTTAATCCTATATATGTAGCTTTATGGGTTCTAACTCATTCATAATTCTAACCAGCAGTTAGAATAACCAGGTGACAGGTCCCCAACCAGAGAAATTTCGTGCTTCCTAGGTAAATACTAGTCACTCTTTGTTTATTGGCCATATTGTAACAATGGGGGGTTTATAGGCGCTACCAACTGACCCGGCTGATGGGTCTAGACCTTTTAGCTGAGTGGTTTGAGCATCGGGTTTGAAGCTGGTGCTCAGGAGGTCGTGGGTTCGAACCCGGGACCAGGGTTTTTAATCTCTTTTTACTCGCGAGGCTCCTCCTGTTGGGTAAACCCTCACTGTTACAATACTATGTTCACACTAAATGACAGTGAATGAAATTGACCTATGTAGGCAGATCCATATGGGAGTTGGACATCACAACTATGAAAATACTGTTCTGTGTGTGAATGAATTTGTCTTAGAGTAGGACAAGACCTAAAGAAGTAAAATTGCATCTTCAATATTGTCCGATACTATCTGTATGGCGCCTTACCTGGTGCCCAGATGAAAGAGCCATAGAGATATGACCGGTAAAGTCTTACAAATACCTGACTGTGTAAATACCTGACTGTGTAATAGTGTGTGTGTGTGGGGGGGGAAGCTACCAACTGTCCCTGCTGATGGGTCTAGACCTTATTTAGCCGATGCGGTAGGAGCTTTGGGTTATGAAGCTGGTGTCCGGGTTTGGGTTTGAACCCCGGCCCGGGACCAGGAGTGTCTTTCTGTTTCTACTCGCTCCTCTTATTTCTTACAGTGGTTCCCACACATGCCCTGGGAGTACTGGCACAGTGTGCTGCTCCAGGGATGTCAAATTCGGAAGATTCGAGGACGAATCTTGAAAAGAAAAAGGGCTACCAACTGACCCGGCTGATGGGTCTGGACATTTTAGCCAATTCGGTAGGAGCGTTGGGTCATGAAGCTGGTGCTCAGGTGGTCGAGGGTTCAAACCCCGGCCCGGGAGTATCTTTCTGTTTCTATAGCCAGGCTTGAGGGCACGGCTGGAAATAGTAGAAATTGGCCAAATAGAGAGATAACACGCCGAGGGAGTTTAGCCATCCAGTTTACAGTTTGCCGGCGAGGCAACTGTTTCTACTCGCTCCTCCTGTTTCTAACACCTGAACCAATGACATTATATACAGAAGTGTATAATGTCCTTGCCTGAACAGTGCCTTTCCCGGTCCCCAGACGAAAGGGCCATGCAGATATCACTGTACCTGTAAGGTGCCTTATCTGGTCCCAGATAAAAGGGCCACACAGATATGACCTATACTCTATACATCTGGTCTTTTCCAAGCATGGACCTAATAAAAGCAACTGACTTAGTGTTTGGCATGAGTGCACCTACGACACATGATACACTAATTTCAAACATAATTTCAAACGTAATTTTCAGGTTTTTCTTCTATTCCTACTAGTACTATCCTTAGACCTAGTGAGTGTGTATTTCCTGTGTCACTATATGCGAAATAAAAAAAAAACTATGTGTGGTACCTTATCTGCGGGCCAAAGAAATAGGCCAAATATTATACTGGTTACATGGCTTATCACCATTCGGGGATAGGGATGGCTACACGCAAAATTTCATGATTAGAATACTAGTATCATGGCCTAGTCATGTAACGTATAACTGTTACCTCCTTGCTAGAAACTACTCAACTACTCATAACTACTACTAGTCCAACGGGTCAACCCTTCACCCTGGAGCAACTTACCTGTACAATAGAAAACGTATGTTTGGGAAGGTGTATTTCCAAGCGTACAGAAGCCAGCCACACCGGTAAACACGGCCGCCATCTTGCCTGCAGTTGACCTCTGTGGGGTCATCCCGCCAGCCGAACCGCGCGCAATGCATTTATGGAGTGTACTCTGGGTCGAACTCTTCGTTAATCGCTGTACCCTGGCGTACGCGGGGTCCATGATTAGGCAAGGCCCTTGTCTAATCATGGCCCATGATTAACAAACTTTCTTGATAATCATGACAGGATTAGGTGGCTATGGTTCAACAGTCATATTCGACAATGACACCCCCCCCCAAAAAAAAACAGAAACAGGTGCTGTGCCCGAAGCCTGGTAGAGGCTACCCGAAGCCGCCATGTTCTCTCCGCGCGTGAAGGTCACCTTGACGCGCCTGCGTCCATAAGCAGGGCTGATTTGCGGGTTCGATCTGTGAGCTCCGGGCTCCCGTAAGGGCAGACCGAACATCATTCATCAGGAGATCATGTCTGTCTAACAACAGTTCCGCCGGGATGTGTACTTGTCACGGGACTTGTAAGAGCTTAGGCCACACCAAGTAATTTTTGTGGATGACGTCCGCGCGGGCATTGATTTTGGCCTGTTCCCAGAAAAAAATCCGGTTCTTGTAACCAAAGAGTCACGGCATCGACAGTGGAATAAGGGAAAATGTGATGGAAGGAAAGAAACAGGACAGGACGACCACTGCTGTTCCACTGATTTGTTGCTGTTTTCATGACGAATAAAAGACTTGTTACACTGTGTTCTCTCATTCAAGTTGTGTCCTAACATTTGTCGTGTCTTAGCATGTTTCAAATTTAGGCATCTTGTTTTTTTTTCTGCCTTCTTGTTTCGTTTTCGCGCTCTCGCATTAGATGTAGGGTCTCCAGAGGACGTCATCCATAAAAATGACTTGGTGTGGCCCTAGAGTAGTAGACATGCGAGATTCCGTGAGCTGGCAGCTTACCATAACCTGCTACACGCTAGTGCCGTGTGGGACGCAAAGGTTAGTGAGCTGTTGTCGTGTCGTATTATATCATAAGTTGTCATGAGAGATAATACATGTAGAAGATGAACTTGTCACTTTTTGATTATATGTCCCAGATATTTTTATACACATACATGTACAATGCATGGGTTGTCACATGTCAATGAGCTTCAATTTGCTATTTGGATGCACTGATAGAAATACTAATACGATATAATATGATTGTATACGGTGAATTATGCCTGATATGATAAGACTTGTATACGGTGGATTACTGGTATCTTAAAAACGCCTAAACGCTAGAAATTCCATCAGTGACTGAAAAAAAGCACATCCCATGTAACTTTTATAGTCTTTTGTAAGGAAGATTAGCCCCATAGCATAGTTGGTGTTAATAAATATATATAGATGCCGTACGTCGTGTTTTGTATGTCTATGTATGACAATGTGTCCTTTGTCATGTATGGATGTCAGCAACATTAAGGGAAAGCAACACAAATATGCTCGCGACAATTGACCTACTCTCCAAGCAGAGGTTGTGGGGGAATGGTCGTTACCTTTTTATATATGGTCGTTTTTTGTCGCTACCCCCACCCGTCGGTGGCAGGCGACCTTCTCTGGCTAATGGATACTGTCTGGCAAATTATTTTGATACTGTCTTTTTGCCACCGAGAGGGATCTGCTTGGAAGCATTTTCGCCCTTACATCAAGGATTTTTAATATTTCCAAGAATTCAGCTTTCAAAAAAAAGCTCCTTGATATTTCTAAACCTTCTTGAATAGATGCAATGTTTCATGTTTCTACGCGAACTGCCAGTCTATATATAGACACATGTATAAACCTATATCACGCCTCGCGTGTTATGGCATACATTAGGTGTGTGTGTACGTGTGTGCTAGGCTAAGGTCAGATTTTCAAACCGGGGTCCGGTCGGGCTGTCTGCATGAACGAAAAATTATTGATTCATATGAAGAATGTACACGAATAGCGCTCATGATTATCTTTAAAAACTTTTGTGTTTGTTTTTGTTGTCTTTTATATCATACATTTTCGCCGATGAAGGTTAGACATCCAGGTGTTGAGAAACACAAGAAGACTGTTACTCAAGCAACTGGAAAGATTTGAAAACAGTCAGACGTTTCAAGTAGCATCCACTACTTTTCGTCAGTGACTGTGAAGTACTAGTAGTATGTATTTTTCTATATAAATCTCTAAAATTGTTATCTATTGAAAATAGCACCTTTCTGTCGGATTGGGTGCTCATATCATTCAAAGGAACATGTGATCACATCTTGGTACACCGTTAAATTTGCTGAACTTTTTAACAGCTAAATTGTCTTACCTTGAAAGTTCATCTGTGTTGGTAGAAATCATTATGCAGCAAGTTTAAACTGTAATTTCCAGCACAACAAAAATTGGACTCACCCAAATTTTCGACTGTACAACTCCAGTCTTTGTCAAGGAATGAGCAATCCACTGCTTCCGTGACGTCACGCAGGTAAGACACGTGACTCCGTGAGCAGTGGATCATAGGTTGCAGAAAGTCTGTGGCGCCCCCCGACTCTGTTGATGGATGGTTGTAATGCCCTGATGTAGATGTCCTACATCAGAGCACAATTTTAAAGCTAAATTGTCGTTGTTCTTATCCTATACAGAGAAAGTAACTGACGTGCAACAAGTACAGAAGCCATGGGAAGTTTGAACGGGACTGCTGATGACGTCACGGGGCTGACAGCCAATCAGATCGATCACATCCGGGACAGCTGGCAGGTGGTCATGAAGAACAAGAGAGCCAACGGGTTCGCCATCTTCAGGATGTGAGTGATAAGATTTGGATTTTCTTAGGTAGTGTAAGAAACAGGAGGAGCGAGTAGAAACAGATAATAACCCCTTGGTCCTGGGCCGGGGTTCGAACCCACGACCTCCCGAGCACCAGCTTCAAATCCGACGCTCAAACCACTTGGCTAAAAGGTCTAGACCAAGGAGCTTCCACACATCGGCCGGGTCAGTTGGTAGCGCCTATAAACCCTCCCACTGTTACACTACTCCCCCCTTTCTTCCCAATATTTGTCCTCGAGTCTTCCGAATTCGACATCCCTGGAGGGGCACTGTGGGAACCACTGTAAGGAACAGAGGCGAGCAGTAGAAACAGATAAAACCCCTGGTCCCTGGCTGGGGTTCGAACCTACGACCTCCCTAGACCCATCAGCCGGGTCAGTTGGTAGCGCATGTAAACCCCCTACTGTTACAGAAGTATTGTTTTGGGTGGCCGAGCTGTGGGTTTGTGTGTCTGTGTGTCCGGATAGAGAAGCTTGACAGCACTTGGGTGGGTGAGTAACTGGCCAAGCAAAAATATACAAAGAAAAGCTGGCGATTTTACCTCTTGACAGCCCTTAACCTTTCTAAGGTTGAAGCTCGTTCGTTCTTTGCATTACTTCTGAAGGTACAATTTGATACTAGAATTTTGTTTCAGCCATTTTCTTTGCGCATTCGGATCTTACAGTACAAATCCAATCGAATCGAATCGAACCTTACAAATCCTACTCTCCAAGCAGAGGTTGTGGGGAAATGATCGTTACTTTTTATATATGGCCGTTTTTTTGTCCTGACCCCCACCCCGTCGGTGGCCGCGGACCTTCTCTGGCTAATGGATGCTGCCTGGCCAATTTGATACTGTCTTTTTGCCACCGAGAGGGATCTGCTTGGAGATTATACAAATCCAATCTTTAAGCATATTTTAAAGGTTCCATTTTCCCACGTCCCGAGTGAACCTTTACGAAAGATGGAATTTCATGCGGTGTCAATTTTTCAACCTCACACTTTGAGCCTGAGAATACATGCATCCATAGAAATGAGACAAGTCGCCCAGGCATGGTGAACTTACCCATGACCTTATATTATTGGCAAGCTGAAAGCCTCACATGTCTCTGTTTGCGTTATATCAGTACCTTATCGCCCTATAGTCCTGCATGTGCCCGTAACTCACACAGCAATAATGGACCCATAACGTCAGCTCTAAAACAACTTCAAAGGCTTTTCTAGCTAGTACTAGTTACTCATCGTCCGTTTACGACGTGCATCGAAACCTGTCGTAAATTTTGCCTTCAGCTAATCTCCAAGCAGATCCATCTCGGTGGCAAAAATACAGTATTAAATTGGCCAGGCAGTATCCATTAGCCAGAGAAGGTCGCCGGCCACCGACGGGTGGGGGTAGCGACAAAAAAACGGCCATATATAAAAAGCTAACGATCATCCCCCACAACCTCTGCTTGGAGAGTAGCCTTCAGCATCGTGGCACTTCCAGCTGTACGCTCGTGCTTTTTACTCTGTCATGGCGGTCTTTGATGAAAGAGGAAAGAGCAGTATATTCTACGCTCCAAGCAGAGGTTGTGGGGGAATGATCGTTACCTTTATAATGGCCTTTTTTTGGCCGTCTCTGTTCCGTGTTGGACGGTTGGCCCGAATGTCAGCCCGAATGTCAACCACGTGTTTCCGACGTCACGTCCCGGAAGCTGCAGTAGAAGGGTCCATTCCGTGAACAAGGCTGACGGAGTCGGTCGAAAATTTGGGGTAAGTCCCAATTTACTTGGTGTCGGTCACGTAAAGTTCAACTGTTATCATAATGTTACATACCAACACAGATGAACTTTCATGCTAAAACTTTAACGGCATTCCATTTTCCAGACTGTTCACAGACTACCCGTTCACGCGGAAGTTGTTCAGGAGTATGGACCAGGTGGACATCGACGTCCCGGAACAGTTTGAGAAGAACATCGCCCTGCGCGCTCACATCACGCGGTTCCTCGCTAGCTTCGGCACCTTCATGGCGGCTCTGGACCAGCCGGAGGTTTGATATTTTTTTAAAATTATTTCAACATTACATTTCATTGCTAGAGATGGTGAGGACACACTCAAGTTATATCAACTTATTTTATACCACCACCAACACAGAGGACAAATACAGGACAGGAGAATACTCATTTTTACTTGAGTTATGTGAAGAAAGTCATGTAAAGTGCAAGGGCACAAGATCAGTGGCATGTCAGGACTCGAACCCGGGACCTATTGGTTCTGAGTTTCGCCACCGACGCCACTTTATATGTCAATTGATGGTCATGTAGTGTAGTACTTTTAACTGATGGAATGTTGTTAATTGACAGTGTTCTTTGATTAATTGACAAAATGTTAAATCAGCACAATTCAGTGGAGTTCAAGACTGCCAAGTTGATTGACTAAAGTTTGATTTATGATTTATTTAGGACCTACAACAGCTGCTGTACGATACCGGCAAGAGCCATCTCAGGCACAGCGTCAAGCCGGAGTACTTCGACGTGAGTTGGTGATTGTCGTATGTAGATTAACACTTCTTACGGAGTTCAGAGCCGCAAACTGTACTCCCTTCTAAATGGGCCACTCTCCTGACATGTTATCTATCTTATGTCTGTCTATTTGGCCAATTCCTACTCTTTCCAGCTGCCTCCCGAAGCCTGGTAGAGGCTACCCAAATAGCGTAAGATCCCTTTAGTATGATTCTATAAAAGCTCCAGGCATAGTGTCAAACCGGAGTATTTTGATATAACGTGAGTTGGTTGGCTGTCGCGTGTAGATAGGCACTCCTTGTGGATTTTTCTTCCAAAGTGCAACACAACTGTACAACCCATGGCCAGACGCGACCACACAGCGCCAGGTCCTTGATGTGATTGTGTGTTTAGCGACACATTGACACATGTCTACAAAATGTAAAACATTTTGTGTAAAAAAAAACGAATGCCCTGATAAGGAATGTAACTGACTAACCCTACAGATTTATGATTGTAATAAGACGGTGGAAAGTTGTCTTGATAGAAACAAATCTTAAGACGTAGAGGGCTAAGATGGCAGTTTTGATGGCCTAAAAATGCCATTTCGTCTCCCCTTAGGCACTTGGAAATGTCCTTATGAAGGGGCTGGGCGCGGTTCTTGGCGCAGACTTCACGGAGGAGGTGCAGGGCGCCTGGGCAGCCGCATGGGGCTTCTTCGTCACCCACTTAAAACACGGGCTGGAGGACGCGATACGCCACCGTGCGGAGACAAACGGAAATGCAGCAGGTGGGTATGAAGACGCCGTGCTGAGCAAATCGTGAAAAACACTTTGCATGTAGAAACAGATGTTTAAACTATTGCATTTGGCAAAGAGAAGGTCGTTTATTACCGTTGCCATTGGATAGTGAACAAAATCCTGTTGGTCAGCATTTCATTTTTTTGGGGGGGGGGGTTAGTCCTCTGATGCTTCAATCAATATGAAATGAACCATGATGGTTTGATTTTAACCTCCTTGGTAAGCATTTTACTTTTGAGTGTGTTTAAAACTTAAAGCATTTGTGTGCGGTTATAGCGTTTAAATCTTCTGTCATGTCATTTACCATCACAGTTCAACTTTTCTTTGAATATACATGTGTACTTAAAGATTATCAACTATGTTCATTAAATCACCTTATTGTTTTCAACTATGCAGGGACAGGTGAATAGGCTGCCACCAGATACAGGCAGCAAAAGCCATGGAGGAGGGAAGAGCGGGTTTCCAACATCAAGACACAACAAATAGGCACCAAATTACACCATGGATAAACTTACTGCCTCTGGTCATTCTCCTGTGCAGGGCCACTTCTCCACAAATACTCCATGAAAGTTCCATGCTGAAAGCTTCTTTCCTAGAACTACATCATTATGGAACAAGCTTCCCCGAGAATGCTCCCCAAATGGGTACAACCCTGAACTTTTTAAGTCTAAGGTCAACAAATATCTGTCCTCAAAGTTCCCTAATGTAATCCAAAACATGTATTACTAAGTGGTTCGTTACGTATGAGCCTTGTTTGGAGGTGAAAATTTAAGTAAATTTAAAAAAAAAAATGTTATGCCTTGATTGGTCAAATTTCGGCAAATGTCAGCCTATCAGAGAATTGTAAATACGTGTATGACTGGGTAATGCCAAATAAGGTAAACTCATTAACATTTTTAAGAGTCTTCAGATGAGACGTGGTCATATTAGCATGTCGGCAGAACGTACTGCACCTGCACGAAACCCGTAATGTATTGTACATAGCATTTCGGCAGAATGTCTCATATAAGGTTGTATTCGCTCATATAAGGTTAGCATTTCGACAGTAGTTTCCAAATGTCATGTCGGAAAGGATATCCTCTGCAACAGGCAAAATTCTGATGCAACGTTGACCAAAAACTCAACGAAAAATGCGAAAATACAGGGTTCTGCGCAGGCGCAGTACGTTCTGCCGACGTGCTGGTCATATTATATAGAAGCTGTATCTACATGTACATGTATTTCAACATGAAGATTTTTTTCTTTGTGACTAATAATGTCTGTATATGAAATGTAAGGCATATGTATATTTGTATCAGATTTTAGACGGTGCCATGTTGTCACTCGAATGGCATTTGAAAAGATTCTTAGAGAAACTTTTAGTTTAATCAAATGTCCGTTATAACGATTCTATTACTAGAGATGACTAAACTTCTCAACAGAGAGAGGCTTCAATGGCCATTGGTGGAGATCATAGTTAAGCTAACAATGTGGGAATACATGTATTTTGAAGTTAACATGTGTAAAGACAACTTGACTTTTGTTTGTGAAGATGTATTTTAGGTATCACTGAACATCTATAGATACATGTACATGTTCTTATCTTGTACTGATGCCATATCAACACATAGACTTGGTCTTAACTGAACAATTGGACAATATTGGTATATACCTAGCCTCCGTAGCAAGCTTAAAGAACTGAGGGTTTGGTGGTCTTCGGCTGTTTTCTGATCAGCCTAGTTCTAAAATGGGGGTAATTCAACCAGGCCGGCTATGTGGTCTATATGCAATCAGAAAATAGCACATAAAAGCTCTCAAAGGCCCTGAAAACCTCCCAAACCCCCAGTTTTTGGCAGTTGCTATGGAGGCTAGTATATACCCCCCTCTGTCTAGAGTCCTTCAGAAATATCAATATCCTTTATTACTGAATGATGTTCAAAGATGAATGTCTCTACTGAAATAATAATAACAAAAAAGAAAGAAAAGTAACAGCTATGAACATGAATGCCCCTGTACGTGACCCAAATCCTAGAGAATTATCCCCGACCAGTGTGAGCCCCTAATAGAGCCTCCTACTGCAGGATGCCGGCCCTTCTCTCTGTCATGATGTGGGGATCTCCCATGACTTCTGGAGCAGTGGGGTCTGTATGGGTTAAAGAACGATAATTGCGATATACATCTCAGGAAGGAACAACTATACTACAGTCAAAACTGTCCAAGACAGGGGACTAACAAAATTAGCCAACTGTTGAAAAAAAACAAAATATCCAAGAACACATGCATCATTACAACACAATTTTCTTATCCTGTCTAGAAATTATTTCTGCAAACCTAATTTTTGTTAGGCACATTATATTGAGCCATAGGCACAATGCACTGCAGGATAGGTTAGAGGGTATTTGGAGAGTTTTTTGGAGTACCTTTTCATCTGAGTGTGACTTGTGGGTACTGTGAAGTGGATTTTTCACTTCCTAAACTTATCATCTATTGGACCTATTGCTCCTTTAAATGTAGGGTTCCCAAATGGTGCCTTTAAGAACAAAGTTTCCAGATCTAAAGATAGAAGTTCTACAGAGGTAACAGAGAAAGTCCTTACCATTCAGGACATCATTGAAGTCGATGTGTTCGTCCAGACCCCGTAAGGTGTCAAGGGCAACGTTGGAGCTGTGCAGGCAGGGTAACCGCTGGACCTACAGAGTAACAAACAAATAAACAAACAAACAATCAATCACACACGCAATCACATAAACACATCAAAATTTTTTCACCAGTGGCCACACTGACTACACTTGATTATATGGATGACACCTGCATTAAGTTTTGTTCAAATTAAGATTTCACTGTTTGATATACGATGCTGTGAGTTCAGTTATTTCTTCGACCTCCCTGAGAGCTTACAGTTTGTAGATTTCACAATGAAGACAATATTTTGTTGAAAGCTTGCATCAATTTGGAGTGCCCAGATGAAAATACCCATATTGTCAAATCTATACTTATAATAATACCTTAATGGTACAAAACTATGCAAAACTGAAGAAATTGCATCATAATTCCACTATATCCATCATAAGACATTTATAGGGTACCTAATGCCTGTAAACCATTAAAACTCAATGCACCCACCTTGCTGGCAATGTGCCTTTCCATCTGTAGTCGCAAGGGGGCGTGCATACCCTGGACATTACGCAGCATGGTGAAGTCTACCTGGTCCTGGTTCTTACGTACCTGTAGGGAGAGGACCAAGAAGACCAAGTTAAAAAGACCAAGTTACCATACTGTTAAGCTGTTTGGCTACCAGTTCTCTGTTTGTTATGGGTACAGGCAACAGGGAGAAGGGCTGAAAATACATGTACAAATATACCACATTCAGTAATAGGATCAAGTTAGACCAAGGTCAGAGTGTTCAAAGGTACCCAAAGTGGCTTCAGGGCAGCAAATCTTAGCCTGGTTACCAAATCTATTTTAGCTGCCAAGTCTCTTTAGTCCTTTCCGCAAATAGAGAGACTCAGCATCTGAAATAAGTTTGGTCACCAGGCTAGTAAAACTGGACTTTTTTTTTTTTACTAAGTTGAATCAACCCTATCCCACAGCATACTGATATCTGTGAACATTATGTTGCTGACAGAAAACGGTTACTTGTTACAAACCAGTGCAACTTGTTCAATTGTCATAATGTACTATCAATAATAATGTTTACCCACTCTAGTGAAACAAACTAACAAACTGACTCACCAGTGCTTCTGATGCTTCCAGGGGATGGGCAGCAACAAGGGTACTCTTCACTCCAGACAGCCTGAAAAGACATACACAAACTAGAGTTCCACGATCTCATACCTTCGCCAAATGATGTTAGCCTTTATGAATAAGAAATATACTAATCACCCTGATTATGCAAATAGAATCCTCAATTGCATGAATTATATCAGTCTGTTGATCATATTCTCCACCAAAAGACAGTCTTATCTTAACAAAGAATGCCATTTTCTCATAACATATGCAAATGTGGTCCTTATTTGAATAAATTATGTTTAATTATGTTCACCTTCACTTAACTTTCAAACACCCCAAGTATGAAATTCCAGGCAGTTACCACTACGCAATTATAACATTTTCTCATTAATTATGCAAATTAAGTCTTCATTTGCATAATCAATATTTGCCTGTGTTTCTCTCGTTCTTAATAACATATGTTACAAGCTTGAACTTCCTATCATGGAATGCAGCTGATTTATAGAAGTTCCTCATTAATTATGCAAATTACATCAATATTCGCATAATTGTAATATCATTATGTCAAGCATCACTTAAGCTACCTACATACCAAAAATCACGATGATCCATCAATCGGTTCTTGAGTTATCCTCTTTTAAACATTTGTCCTTTAAACCCCCCTGCAGTTCTAGAGCAAGCCGCTAGGGGGCCTAAACTCACGTCACTTCTTTCCCAGCACAAGAGCTATCTGCCATCAAAATTTCATCACCATAGCATGTCTGGATCTTGAGATATCAAAACCGGAAGTTGAGCTGCAGTACCATAACAAGCCGCTAGGGGGTCCAAAATCTAATCATTTTGAGGTCTCATCAAGACCTACCCATCTACCAAGTATCAAGACAATCCATCAAGACCTTCTCAAGTTATCGTGTTGACAGACAGACAGACAGACACACACACACACACACATACACGAACGCCCCTGAAAACATAACCTTCTTGGCGAAGGTAAAAATCATTAGGCTGCGGTTCTGATATAAACTGCATGATGGCATACCGGTAGTTCAAACACCCCACACACACAATGCATCTGCATGTATATGTGCACTGAATGTGAACTGCAGTCAGACATATATTCCTGGGGTCTTTTTGGTCAAAAGCTGGCCACTTTTCTATTCTTTCAAACTTACAAAAATCTGGTCCGACCTTGGTTTCTAACAAGCTGCTAGGGTGCCCAAACTTATGTCCCTATATTTAAGCACGAAGCACTATCCACCACCCAAAAACTGTTAACATCCGTGTCCACATTATCACCAGGGTCCATAATATCAGCAGGGTACATACTTTTGGTATGCACTCCTGCACACCTCAAATGTACATACCTTTGGTATGTTGCAGTAAAAATATCTTTAAGCACACTGTTTCTCAAGGTGGTGATATTATGGACCCTGGTGATATTATGGACACAGATGTTACCACAGTGTCAACACAAGACTGTTGCAATACAATGGAAAACAGCCAGAGAAACCTACACAATGTAGATCTACTTGGGTGCACACACCCTTTTCAACATTTTTGTGTTTTGTTGACTTTTATATCATGATTTTCGTTCCCACAAGCCGCCCAGCCAGCCCACAAGTTAGGAAATTGTGACCTTTGCATAAGGTTGTGACTTCTAATGTCTTAACATCCCTCCTGAGTGTTTTACACAGACCAGGAGGTCTGAGTTTCAGACGACATTCTTGCCCAGAGTCAACTCATTAAACTTGTGAACATGAACTTGCTGACATCATCGGTTATCTGTATATGTATTTAGGAGCCCAGACGACTGTTTTTTTAATGTGAGAGCCTGCCCTACAGCCACCACCTATAGTAGCCAGGCTTCCACTGAGGACCCTGGGGTGTCTACAGGTGGTACCTTTGTAGGGATGGTGACTCTAAAGCTACCCGGTAATGGCTAACAGAGATATAGCCTCCACCAGGCCTTTTTACAGGAATACGGATTGTAGCATTTCGGCAAAAAGGATAGAAAAATTGGCCAGGCAACAGATATAGCCTCCACCAGGCCTTTCTACAAAAATATTAAAAAAAAAACAACACATTAATTCACATTCTTATGTACAGAATTCTATACTTTTTATAGACATCTAAAAAGACAGCACAACTGAACAAAGAGGTATAAGACTACATAAGAGAGTGGTGTGGCATGATGGGAGGGCTGTTGCATGCTGGGAGGAGTGTTGCATGCTGGGTGGGGTGCCCCCTCCCCCACCTGTTTGATCTGTAATAGATGCCAGGTGGCCTGAAAGTCGCCTACTTAAACAGACTCTACATCAGTAGTGAACCCAATTTTACCTAGAATATCTTGAACATTTTATACTATAATTCTCTCTATCTCTATCTGGTTTATCGTCTGTTGTTCCCCGTAATGAGGGTTAGACGTGCTTCCACACTGATGCTGGGGTTTGATGGTACATATAGCTTGCCCATTGCCTCTGTACTGTGGTTCTTGGTTCTGTAGTATAACTAGCTTTATTAAACTGTCAAAGGGTCTAAAACTTAGAGTACAGCCAACCTAGAAGATCAGCTGACAGCATTTAGAGCTGACAAGTCTAAGTGGGTGATATTTTTTGCCTTTCCAAAACAATTAAAACCCAGAAGCCAGGCGTGCCACATGGCTTGTGTCAGATCACATGGCTTTCATCACTGTGGTGTACAGTAGTTACCACAGCCTAACTTACAAACATCTGGGAGAACTGGTGGGTTACTGTCTTCTACATACATGTAGGCTGGATGTTATCAGTTGCAAACTGTCCAGGTTCAACTTTGTGACCTTTAATCTGTGTGTGCTTTAATGGCAGCACTAGAAAATACATGCCCTAGACACTGAAAGAAATGAACAAGAACATATAGACTAAGAGGATAAAATACTGTGAAGTAAGTGTTGACAGCCACTCCAGAGAGTATGGTAAGTCTAGTCAAGTAAGTAACTAAGTACTGCATCTGCAAAATCTGCAAAATAGGAAACATAGAATACAAAAACATGATTTTTGGCAGTGGTAGTTAGTTACTGACTACAGCCATGGTGGTCAGATCTCCTTGCCTGTTCTCAACTTCTTGTTGTTTTGGTCCTATCTCGCTAATCAAGCATCACTTTTGTTTGTTGTCATGTTTACACCACTCCCAGTAACACAATCTGTCAACACCTCCCTCAAGTCGCTGCCCTGTAGTTTAGCGCACAAGACACACACACAGAAGAGGGCCTGCATGGGGGGTAGTGATGTACATTATATAGTGATTATGACTTATGCAAAATTTTCACTTCCGATTATGAATTACGTTCAATTCTCAGAGCTGATTATGAACAGTCACGTGTGTTACAGCTACATGTAAGGTGCTGATTACGAATTACGATGATTTTGGGTGACTGCCTACGGATTCCAAAGACTAAAAAGGCCCGGTTATGCCTTACGAAAAAGAGCATGCAGGCTTTCACAGAACATGTTATCATGTAAAGAGACTCTTTTTAGACAACCAAGTCTTTTATTCAGCCAACATTTTGGTGACGGTCTGTCACCTTCCTCAGGGCAATTCTGACTGGTTCAAATGTGAGTCTCTTTACTCAGTGTCTTACCAACCTGATAAAACTATTCATAGAGCATATTATGTTTACACCAGTTTGGTAACACAATCTGTCAACACCTCCTTACCCCCAGCATAATACACAAGACACACACACACACAGAAGAGGGCCTGCATGAAGGAGTTTTGATTACGAATTACAATGATTCTGGGCGACTGCCAACAGATTACGACTAAAAATGCCCAAATACGCCTTATGAAAAAGAGCATGCAGGCTCTCACAGAACAAGCTCTAGTCTAGGTGAGAGAAATTTTTGTGTTGGATCTAAACTTTTAACTCTAAACATCTCACAGAAAATGTTATCATGTTTACAGCACTTTGGTAACACAATCTGTCACCACCTTCCTGCCCTGCAGTTTAATACACAAGACACACACAGAAGAGGGCCTGCATGAAGGAGTTTTGATTACGAATTACGCAAAATTTTTGCCATCGATTATGCATTACATTAAATTCTTAGATTACCAACAATTTTGCAATACGGCTTATTATGTACTGATTATGAATTACGATGATTTTGGGCGGCTGCCTACGGATTACAAAGACTAAAAATGCCCTGCGAAAAAGGGCATGAGGGCTCTCACAGAACATGCTCTAGGTGATAGAACTTTTTGTGTTGGATCTAAACTTTTCACTCTAAACATCTCACAGAACATGTTATCATGTTTACACCACTTTGGTAACACAATCTGTCACCACCTCCCTACCCTGCAGTTTAATACACACACAGAACAGAACACACCACCCCACACTTCCTGTACTGATACCCATCTAGAGGAAACAGGCTCCTGGGCGTCATGCCAAGGGGAAGGAAGGCTTGCCCTGGTGGCTGCTGACCCGGGCTACCTTACAGAGGAAACACCTGGCAGTGTTAGAAATACCCATATGCAGTCTGCATTTTGCAGAGACATTTTCAATATTGCAGAAAAAAAATTAAGCAACCTGCAATTTTGCAGACTGAAAAATCAGGAGAGGCAATCGATGAGCTTTTGTGTTTACTACTGACTCTATAAGTATAATATCTAGGAGGTTCAAAAACTCCATGATAATATACATGTAATTTTGCATGTATTTTCAAATTGCATGTAAAATCACATGTTTACCAACATGCAGTTTTGTGTATGCCATGGGTTCAGATACATATTTGTATCCGCAGAAAGTATTGCAGAACAAAATTTCGATATTTTGCAATATTGCAGAACACTGAAAACAAGTATTTCTACCACTGCCTGGTCACCACCAGGGGGTCTGGTTCTAACAAGGACCCCCCCTGGACACTCAAGGGGCTCCCTAGGGGGGTAGGGGGGTGTTGGCAGCAGGCCAGCATGGGGTATCAAATGTCAAACACCTCCAGCTGTTGGTACAGGTGGATCTGGCTGGGGTACAGGCTTGCAAGCCATGGGAGGGGGGTCTGGTTTGATTTGATTTACTCTGCTGTATGAAAACATACATGTACAGCCAGGGCTACCCAACAGGTCAAAAGGCTATTAATAAATTCTGTTTCTGTATCTGTAGAGCCGGTATAACCCTTCGGCGTAACACACCAGCTTTGCAGGCATGTGGCGTAGCGGCAGCTGGCTACATTACACCAATCGAGTATTACATTTGTACAAGATGGATCTGGCTGGGGTACAGGCATGCAAGCGGTCTAAGAGAATGACATGATGAAGAGCTGCTCCTTACCCCTGAGCTGACTTCATGGTCTCCTTCACCCCATACTGGCCTGTCTGGTGCAGGGGGACGTCCAGGGAGGAGGCGGGGGTGGTCACGTTCAGACTCTGCAAAAAACAAACAAACAAGGAAATATTATTCATTAATCTATGTGTGTATCACAAATGTGGATCTTAAAATATGTATGCTGTGTTATGTATGGACACAACACAACATCAGACTTACATGTACAGTAGAGACTTATCTCTCAAGATGGAAGGATGCCTACTAATACTATGTTGTGTTCTAACTTCTCAGGTAAAGAAAATGTTTTGTTTCTTTCCAATAACCAGTAAACCACCTTTTGGTGTAACACACCAATTTTGTATGTAAGAACAAGATGCATACTAGACCAGAATTTAGATGCAAGGTAAATAACCTTACATATAACTGCAAGACCACCTTGCAACCTTTTTTGCAAAATGTGTATCACAATGTGGATTTTAACATCACTATTTTGTGTTGTTACTTTTCAAATAGAGAAAACTTCACCCTAGATGCACCAGATTTATTTCTGAAAATGTTTTAATAATTGCTTTATTGCAAATTCGTGCCCGAGGGCTAATTGCAGTAACAGAAGAAACATTTGGTATAAAAAACAATTAGTACACATAGCACTACTAGTAAAAACTACTGGGTTTGACTTCATTTTTGAAGACAGAGAAAGACAAAGGATCCCACTTTTTCTGTAATTTGTGGGTTCTCGGATGTTAAGAGGAGAGTAGTTTTCATTTGTATTTTAATACCCTATCCTTTCTATTGTTTCCATCACACTTCAATCTGTCTATCTCCCTACAGGTCACCTGTTAGCCTGGTTACCAAACCTATTATAGCTCCTACATCCTCTCCGCAAATAGGGAGAGGATGTAGGACTCTGGAGCTATAATAGGTTTGGTAACCAGGCTAGTCACCTGTGCCAGGAGTCTAGCAGAGCTATTAACCAGGGTCACGACCCCAGAGGAGAGACGCTACCTACATGTGGACATCATTAGACAGTCTGTATGTGGTGGGCTCATTTGGGGGGATTAGAAAGGAAGGGCTGCTAAGAAAACAACTTGAAAGGCGAGACAGCCCCCATGCATATGATACCCTCTGGTGACATCAAATGTTGTGTGAAAAACATACATGATGTAGAAAATAAAGGGGGGCCTGCAAGCCCTTTTCATAAGGCGTAATCGGGCCTTTTTAGTCTTCGTAATCCATATGCAGCCTCCCAAAAAATCAACGTAATTCGTAATATTACACAAGCTGCAAAGCATAAAGTCGTAATCAGCTCAGAGGCTTTAACGTAATTCGTAATCACCCCCCCCATGCAGGCCCTCATTAAGTGATAAATGTACCAACTTTTGAGTGTCTAATACCAGCTGAGAAAAGAAATAGCCATGCATTCGACTTTTTAAGTACCAGAGTTACAAAAACTGCCATATTGCACAGTACTTGTATTGTAGAGTGGAACTTGCTGCCACCAACCAAGTACAGTAGGGGTACATTGTATCTTCATGCTATGTTTTGTTTACATGTTTTCAACACACACTCAGAGGGGTTGACATACATGTAGTTCAATGCCAAATGTTTCAGGGTTTTCAAAGTCTGGGCAGTTATTCAAATCTTTGTGCAATGGCTGGGAACATCGCCAGGAAAGTTGCACTGTTACAGTAACACATACAAATGTCTGTCTACAGTTACTTAAAGAGTTTTTGTCAACTAACCACAACTTGCTGACACACAACTTCTTGATCGTACTACATTGTACCTGGAAGTACTGTTTTGGGTGGCTAAGCTGTGACTTTGTGTATCTGTTTGTCTGGACAAAGTTGGTTGATAGCATGTGGGTTAAGGGAAGATTGACAGGCAAACTGACAGGAAGCCAAAGTTCTCAGAATTTGGCCAGGGAAGGCAGCAGATGATTGTATAAAAACCATGAAAATCACGAAAACAAAACCATCTTGGCAGATGTAATAACATAGTCACAAAGTATCAGACTCATGCATTTATTCAGCAAGGCAGTGCAGCTTGACACTTTGCCAGACAACGTTTTATCTGGCCCTGAACTACTAGGTCAAAGTTTGTACATTATGTCAAATGTAACCCTGCATGCCAATACTGAAACTCAGACTCACATCCCAACCCCTGTAGTATACGTCATACATGTACACGTATATACATAGAGGTCCATGCACACTGCTGTACACTGATACATGATGACATACGTGTACATGTATCATGTACTGTTTATTTCTCTTCCCTGTGTGGTCACTGCCCTCTTAGTTGTTGAAAAAGTCTGCCACTGAGTGAAAAGATAATCACTAACTGACAGACAAACGCTACAGTATAAATAAAACAGAGGTTTCACATGACTTCTTGGAACTTAGACTTCAGATTAGAAGTTCTGCCAAAGCTGACAAGAACAATGAGCCAAATTTCGCAAAGAAATCAGATCCTGTTAACAATCCAATTTGTTCAATCTTGTCAAATGCGGCAGCGGTGTTCATGAAGAACCATTGCCATTAAATGAAATTCAGTATGCCCCCGAAACTGCTGTGCTGACATTTGCTTTCTTAAACCAAAAACAGGACTTCCTGGTACATATACAGTAAATTGTGAAACCTTAACTGTGGTTTCATTTTCGTGGTGACTCCTCGACTGTGAATTCTTGACACTTTGACTTTGGATATGTCTTTCTTGTCTAACATCTCTACTACAAAATTGTTTCAACTGCAAATTTAAAATACTGTAAAAAAACTCCCTTTCCTTCCAACCGAGAAATAAAACCACCGCAAAAGCTTCACGTTTTACAGTAATACAGAGTGTACAGACACCTGTTGACAGCTGACAGGTCTAACCGTTTCAGCGTCTGTTTCAGCGTCCTCTGTCTGCTGACGTCAGAAGCACCCAACAAAACCCCACGCCACTCTCCCGGCTATCACCTGACGGAAGTTTATAGCTACAGCTGGAGCTTTGATTAACCACAGGTCTTCCAGAAATAGCAACTATTACTCAAGCCAATCTGAATTGTTTTTCTGTCATCTTAACTTGGTCTGAGGTAACATCATGGAGAGCACTGAACCCTAGTGGTGTCCATGAGAATTTTGAAATCTTAACCCTGTGAAATTGCAATTTCATACAATGACATATCTTTTCATATCTTCCAACGCCAACTTTATGCCAACTTTTGTCCGTCAAACATGACGGGGCCAGGCTATCACCTAACGGAAGTTTATAGCTACAGCAGGAGCTTTGATTAACCACAGGTCTTCCAGAAATAGCAACTAGTATTGTCAAGCCAACCTGAAATGTTTTTCTGTCATCTCAACTTGGTTTGAGGTAACATCATACAGAGCACTGAATCCTAGGAGTGTCCAAAGGGGGGAGGCATGAGAATTTCGAAATCTTAACCCAACCCTGTAAAATTGCAATTTCATGCAATCTCTTTCCATATCTTCCAATGCCAACTTTATGCCAACTTTTGTCCGTCAAAGATGACGGGGCTGGGCTATCACCTTCCGGAAGTTTATAGCTGGAGCTGGAGTCTTGATTAACCACAGGTCTTCCAGAAATAGCTAGCAGCCTGAAATGTTTTTCCGTCATCTCAATTTTGTTTGCCCTAATAGCATCATTTTGTCAAGCGCAAAGGGGGGGGGGATGCTCCCCCAGGAAAATTTTGAAACCTTGACCCTCTGAAATTGCTGTTTCATGCAATTTGGGAGGGTGGGTTAGTCTGTCAGCAAAATTAAAAGTCTACAATGACATCTATTATCTCTTCCATATTTTCACAAGCCAGTTTTAGCTTGTCAAAGACCACGAATTGTGCACAATTGTTGTTGGTCATGAGCAGCAAATGACTAAAACACGACACTGATAGCAACTGAGAACATCTGGAAGCATGGTAGTTAGGGCTGTCAGGGCAGAAGGGTAGGTTTGGTGTCATGACTGGGCACAGAACAGGTCATGGCATAAACTTGAACACAGTGACACTGACCTATTTTCTCCTGGGCCCTGCTGTTAGATGTGTGTTAGCAGTGACCTGGCTTACTGTAAATGCATTTACTTTCAGTGTGAGTTTATTTCAACAAGTGGTGGGCCTAACAAGTGGTTTTTGTAGTGTTTGAAGTTTGCGGTTAAAGCAAGTCTGTAGTACATGTACAGGAGAAATGTACAAAATACCGGTAAAACAACTGACAGTCATTTATTCATGGGTTGACCAAATTTTCTCAGTCAAAGTCGAAGACAATTTTCTTTGACACAGGATTCTTTTAGTGTTCTTTGACACAGACCTCTTCTTCCTAAGACATATTGATAAAAAAACACAACTTTAGCAAATACATTTTCATCATCATCCTCTCTGCATGCCAGTGCCAGTCATTAGCACCAAGGCTGGCTTTTCCACATTCTCTTATCAGTTGCTGTCCAAGTTTCGTTGCATTTTGAACGAGAACTTCTTAATCCATTGTTCTCAACCCACTTCCTCCCAAATCCCAATGTCTCCATGTGGCCTAACAAGTGGTTCTGTTTTCCAGATCAGTGCTAAGGCAGGAAAGGCCTGTCCTGCCACCTGTTTACCATCTCAGGCGTGTGCGTCAGTGGAGGATTAGTGCTGTCAGGGGAGCCTCCAACACTAGTAACAGTAACACACTGGGCAGATAAAGTGGGGAGGGGGGCGATTGCTAACACATGGAGAAGGTAAGACAAAGCGGGCAACCTCAGACTGGGGACAAAGCATGATACTTTTTCATTACCAGCTTGTAGTGAAATTGGGCTGAGAAATATTAAATCCTGAAATAACCACTTTGAGTATACTGACAGCATATATCTGAAAATTCTGCATCAACTCTTCATTCTCTGTGTGTTTGAATTGACCTGATCAAAATACTTTTGTGGCAAGCTTTTGTAACAATTGCCTACTAGGATCCAAGATTGCCTTTTCTGTAAAAGGCAACTGATATTTGCATGACACTTGGACAGCTATCACAAGAGTGCTCTCATTTTCTGATGATTATTTGACAAATGACCAAGCCATAAGGCTCATAACTTGTTCAATGCTAACCTACATATACTTCACAATGCAAACCACTTGCTTTTCAACAAGGCCTGAAGACCTATGACCAGCAATTTAAACTGCTTTATCACTAACACATGGTTAGAAGCCTGCTAGTAGCAGACAGTGTATATCATGCCCCTTGTTATCATCACTTTCTCTCCCAAATGTGCAAGTGGCTGTCACTCAGGGCACCAGGACCAGACAGAGATACTTATCACAGTTAAAGATGGCACAGATATCTGATGCTGGTAATTGTTTGCAGTGGCATGTAACAAAAGATACTGTAGCAAGATGATCTGTGGTTAGGGTTGTTGACTCAGAATCTAAAGTTCTGGGTTCGACTCCCTGACTGGCAAGTCCCAATGTTGTGTCCTTGGGAAAGGCACTTTAAACCTACTTCCTCACTTAACAGGTGAAAATGTACAAAATGTATCTAGTTTCAATTAGTTGCATGGAGCATAAAGCCAAAGATCCCGTGTTTGGGGAGAGTCAGAGCCTCAGAGGTTCAAACCTTACAGTCCTGTCTCAATACATCTCCTGGTAATGTTAGCAGAAGCCATGATACAAATTGTCCATAATGTAACCTATTCAGATAATATTGAGGGATAAGCAAGTGCAACAAACCACAAGATAACCATTAAAAAAAAATTAAGTTTGCTGAGCTATCTGTCATATTTTATTAGCCAAGGAAGGGGAGTGCTACAACTGGAACAGGTGATAGTTAAAGAGGCCAGGTCAGATGACAGATTAGGGATGAGTTAGGAGGTGGGGACACCTGAGGAGAGGGGGGGGGGAACCTGGGGAGGGACGCTGGTCTGGGGTTTAGGTTTGGCACAGATCCAGGGACCTGGGGCAGACTAATGAACCACAGGCTCTGGACTGTTGGCTACAAAGTTGTACAAGAAACCAGGATAGCCCTTTGTAGCCAACGCAACACGCTAACCCCCTGCTGTTTTCAGTACATCTCAAGAGTCAAATTATTATAACAGTGGCAAGGACAAGGTGTAATCTTCAAGCAGATCATATGGTCTCAAAAATAGAGTATCTAATTGGCCAGGCAGTATCCAATTGTGTGACCCAAGGTTAGTGGGGGTAGCGACAAAAAAACGGCAAAAAGCTAACGATCATTCCACCACAACCTCTGCTTGGAGAGTAGGCCAGGTGTTCTTGTGGTTAGGGTACAATCTGAAGGTTCTGGAAATCTGGGTTCCAAAGACTCTCTACTGAAAGTACCAAACACGGGATAGTCCTTTGTAGCCCAAGCCATGCTACCTCCTACAGTTTTCAGTACATGTCACACACACTGAGAGTTAGTAAGGGTGACAAGGTAGACTTGCATCTTGTAGCTAGGGTTGTTGACTCTGATGATGGTTTGATGGTTTTAGGTACTCCCCAAGCAGAGGTTTGGGCTTATTTTTGGTGTGTTTTTAGGGTTTCTTTATCGGGTTTCGTTTTATGCACTAGATTTTCCATGCCCCCCCCCCCAAAAAAAAAATCCAGTGCAAAAAAGTAACCCTGATAAAGAAAGCCTAAAAAGACACCAAAAAAGCCCAAACCTCTGCTTGGAGAATACAGGTTTTGGGTTCGAATCCCATGGTTTCAGTAGCTTTTGGGTCTTCAACATATGTTATGTTCTGAAAGTAAGTTGAATCTTATGATCTATATTTTCATGTATTTTTTTGTGCTCAGTTAATAGAGCCTAAAACGTGCTTTGCCATAAATTTATTATCATGATTCTTACCGGCACTACAAATTTGTTATATGCCCCCCTCCCCACATGACTTCGCTGGAATTTCAACCTCCTATTTCTTGCTATGGAACTAAAACAGATACAGGATAAAGCTAAAAACATGAAGTATGTTATGTGAGTTCTCTAAGGTTTACCTCTCACTAAAATATACGCTTCATATAACTCAGGGTTTCGTCAAAAATATCAAAATTTAGTAAAATTTTTAGATGTACCCACCATCTTGGATATCTCGCACATGCGCTGTGGATGTACCACAATGCCCTGCGCGGGACCCCGGGAAGTTTGACTCATACAAGGTCAATGACCTTTGCGAAGTGCAAATATTTTTTTTAGGCAGAAAAAAAAAAACTTTTTTAAACTGTGGCCTGCTAAAATAATATCAAAGAATGTGTCTTTTTTGATTTTGAATTGTTGCTCTAGCTGCATTGACAAATATAAACATATTAAAGAATGTTTAATAGACCTTAGAATAAGTAGTACAAGTTGATTCATCTACTAATGTCTTGTATATGTAGGTTATTTTTCGTTGTACCAACGTATATGTCTATATGTCACTTTTGTTGTGTCAATTATAAAGTTCAGATATAAACCACATGCATAATCATGTGACAAAGAGACCACTTAATAAGTTTCTTTTCAAAGACGACATAAAACCGCACGGCACCTTTCAAAAGCTCCGAGACCCTCTGCCTTCAAAGATTCAAACACGGACGACTTTCAATCAAACATGCGAACAACAAAGCCCTACTCGAACGACCACCTGATTAGCAATGGACTTTTCCTGTTCGTGGCACGCAAGGCGAGTTATCTGGCACGACAATGCTTCCGGCCGTTGTTATCTATTACTGTATAATTCACTTTATGTTCACGGTAGCAAAATTTCACGGTCTGAGAAAAATGAAAAATGTTCACTGAACTATATGTTCACTGTGGCGACAGGTGCAGGAAAAAGAAAGCCCAGGAATTATTTGTTAACTGTATTGATAAGTTCCCTGTACAGAAATGACAGTTCAAAACAGTGAACATAAAAAAAGAGTGAAAAAAATCAGGAATTACAGTAATCACATGTGGCGGTGTCTGGGGTGAGAAGGCAGCGGTGTCAAATGTTATACAGAGGTTGCAACGACTGATAACAACAAGAATACAATTGTCGAGAACACAATGGGGGTATTGCATAACTTGTTTGGCTTCAGAAGCCTGTTTGGCTTCTCTGGAATGAGTAACGTAGGCCTTAGAACTAGAAGCAATGAGCTTTCGAAAGATCCTTGGTGTACATGTACAAGGGAGCGGCAAACCGTGCTTCTTTGGCAGACTAACTCCCCTGGCATGTTATCTGTCTATACTCTTTTTAGCCACTTCCCAATCCTACTAGTCATGGTAGTAGAAGATATTAAAGAAGATGCACATAATATTCTGTTCTGAACTATATAATCTGACAGTGCTAACGCCAGTTTGTATTTAAATATGAACACTAAGTCTCGTCAGAGAAAGAAAAATTAAAAACGAAGAAAAAGTCATTTTCTTAAAAAAAAAACTCGCTCGCACCAATATTGAACACCTTAATGACGGCAACCAGAAAACTGACAGTAAGATGCCCAGACGCAGTAGTCCAGGTGTCGAGTGACACCCTACCGCCAACCCGACGCCACGCACGTGTCAGGGAAGGGAACATGTTGTTTTCTTAGTGGGGAAATTTCTCAGACATCATTTCCTTGACGTATGTAACAGGACAGAACAAATAAATCCCAGCTATCGGTTGTCAGGACCCCGAGTCTTGCTCCTTTGTCTTGTGGCGTTTGCTGACTTGCTAACAAAAGAGAAATGTTACTCTCTTTGTTTTACCTAGCCGCAACTTCGTACATGTTATATGTAGCTATATGTACTTTGGGGGGGGGGGGGTAGATATGTTAACAAGGCCTTTATTTCTACACACATGTAAGTAACGTTACATATTGTACAGGTCGCAAACTAAATTTTACTGATGAATCCGGCTTTTCTTTGATGGATAAAATGCAAGAACAGGTATGATTTTCATGTGTGATCAAAGGTTGTGGTAACCTTCTTGGTTAAAGCAAAGTTATTGAAATTTTTAAAAAATATGAATTTTTTTGTATTACTTTGGTGTATTATAATGCCATATGATACATGTATATCGCTGTACCTTACGAAAGTCGCTGTACTTTTGTTGTGTCAATAAAGTTCTCTCTATATATCGAATGAAAATCTATATTCTAACTGTTGCTAGATTAAGAAAATGGCGTTTATCTTCTATTGTATCTAGGGCAGGATGCATGTCGTACTCTGCATTGTCATCAATGTCAATGCCATGTCCTGTCAAATATGTCTCTTGTTTGGCGATAGTTCAGCAGTAGGCAATTGGGTGTACCGAACCCTGGCTATTTTTGGAAAGCTGACTTCCTCGTTTAGATCAGTATCAGCCAATAGCAGCTGGGCAATTGTAAAACTTCTGGGAACAATATCCACATGTTCAGCATCTGAGAAGGCGTTACTGGTTTTGGGCAGGACGCGAAACCTCATTTGCATATTGTGACGTCAGGGTGTATCACCGGCCTCTTCCTGCCTCTGGGCTCTTTCTTCTGTCGGATGCACTCCCTACGTAACTTCACATATAACGTGGGTCCATAACACAATAAATAAAAGATTAATTCTATTTTTTTTGCAATAAAACAAGGCACAGTTTTGTTTAAAGCAGTTTTCTTGGAGTTTTATATTTCTTTTAGAGGTAAAAAGACAAATATGCAGCAATATGAGAGCACAAGTATAAACCTATTTGGGGGAGGAACACCACAGGATGAAACAGCGTCAGCTGGTGAATGTTAAACTTCTGGGAAAGCTAGCAGCGCAGTGACAGGAAGTGGACCGAACTGTCACCACACGTACTATACGACTTTACTACAAGTCACGACACTCAAGTGGCGAGACCAGGAGGTTTCTACCCTCAAAACGACAGGTTTGGACTCCAGACGGACTATTCTATACGGAGAGATCGGCTGTACAGAAGGTCGACATGGCTCGTGAGCTGACGAGCAGATTTTTCGCGGGAATTTTGGTGCTTCTCGGCGTGTTTGGTGCCACTTCCTATGGACAAGGTAAGTTTCGCAAACTCGTTCCCTAAAAATAGCAGTGAAGTAAGGATAAGATCTGTTATCATAGTTCGTATATTTATATTTTTATTCGTTTTATTTATTTTTATTTATCATATGTAATACAGAATATTTTTTCGTGTGATCGAGTGAATGTTGATGCCAGAATAATGCATTGACTATCCCGGATCCGCTATTAAAATAAGGTTTGGGCATTGCTTTAGAACTTCAGCAATATACAGTAGCAAGGGGGTTTAATATCATAGTTTAATAGTGAATTGATAACAGCACAACAGAATTAATGATATGTGGCGATGTGTTTAAAGGCCTTTAAATGTCCTGTAGATTCAATTGTGTAATTGAATTTGCGCATTTTGCTGTGTTGTCATAAAACCACAATGACAGAGCGTTAAAAGCGGAAGGGTGATTGGGAACAACATTTGTAAAGCGATCACGCGCCGGCAGTGTACGAGCGCGAATATCTGCACGCACTGCGTTCACTACACTGCGCCAAACTCACACATCTTCCAACAGGGGTTTAGCCTTGTTATTGAAGCCTTTAAAGCGTTTCAGGCGTTTTGTCGAGGTTTCTACTTTGCCAGATTTTTCTATTGGTCTCCTGGTTCCTCAAAGAAAGGGTGACAAAATAGCGGGCCTCACAAAACGTCAAAAAGGCTGACAAAGCGTCCAAAAACGGTCCTAAGTGGAAGAGTCCTAACCTCTTCTTGTAAGTTGTAGGAGGCGAGGTCGCACAGACAACGGGAGGTTTTCTTCGCTCTTTATTTATAACATATGCCTTGTGCATCCAAATGCTTTAATCAATATCATGCATCAAATGATTTAAGCATTAAAATATCAAGATTAGTTTTCTTGTTTATGTTTGACTTAAAAAGTTTACTCTTGCATCAGATTGTGAAAAATGAAAATGAAACATAACTTTTTTTTCATTTCGGAACAGCTTTACTAATAGGTTTATTGTTCAAAAGGCTTGTGCCATTGTGGATCATATTTCTAGGTCAAGTGCATTCAAGTTCAAACCATCTTGTTGTTACACATGTGTCACGGTGCATCACCTGGTCTTGTCAATCACTCCTCTGTGTACAATATGGCCTGCAAGTGCAACTTGTCACAGTTGTGACAATTCATGCCCGTAGCCAGGGGGGGTTCGGGGGGTTCGGAAGAACCCCCCACAAGGCTCAAAGGTCCACTTTTTGGTCCACTTTTTTATGAAAAAGGTCCACTTTTTGGTCCACTTTTTATGTAAAGGTCCAAGATTTTTCTTGAAAAGATGGACTGGAATTGTAGAAAAACTGCTCCCTTTGTCATTGAATAAAAATTTATCTCTGATTTTTTCTTGGAAATTCTCTCAAAAACGCACGAAATGCCATTTTAGAAGGTTCATTTTTCAAAATTTTCCGGGGGAGCATGCCCCCGGACCCCCCTAGGAACCTCGCGCCCTCGGCGCTCGCCTCGCGCCTACGGCGCTCGAGGTCCCCTCTAGCAGTGGGAAGAACCCCCCCATTCAAAATCCTGGCTACGGGCATGCAATTGTTCTCAGAATGGCCCATTGGGACACCTTAGATTTGAAAGAACAAAATCACATTTAATCCATCGGAAGCTGAAAGGGCCATTGTGTTATTCTATTAAGGGGAATTACACTATTTCATTAAGGGTCATTGTGTTATTTTTGAAGGCAATAAGAAAGTTCCTTTCCAAAATGCACAGAGCTGGGGCCTGCCAGAAACTTTAGATTCTAAGCCAATAACCGAAACCACAAGACCTGTTTTTAATTGGGGTATAACTAAATCAAACAAGAAGGAAAACTTGATAGGAGAAACAAGTGTTTTAACTTTTCAAGTGTCTTTATTTTATAACTTTTTCAACTGCACAGTTGTACAAGTTTTGTTATTTATGTTTCATTTTATGTCGAACCCAGGGAGAATAGTGCTCAAGCACTAATGGGGATTGAAATAAAACAAACAAACAAGTAAACAAACAAACAAACAAACAGACTTAGACAGAGGAAAGGAGAAAGACTACCTGCCCAAAAAATATGATCGGACTGAGTCAAGCCATGCAGTCAACAACTCTCCCTCTGTGATGTGGGGCCAACAATTAGTCAGAAACAAACAGCCCATGTGGGCTGGCATGATAGCAGCTGATAATCAGTACTGATCCCGCTACTGTCTGGGGGCCTGCATACCCTCTTTTGTAAAGGCGTAATCAGGCCTTTTTAGTCTTCATAGCAATCCGTAGGCAGCCTCCCCAAAAAAATCAACATAATTCGTAATAGACCATTAGCAGCGAAGCGTAAAATCATAATCGGCTCTGAGACTTCAACGTAATTCGTAATAGGCGGCAAAACTTTTGCGTAATTTGTAATCAGTACCCCCCCCATGCAGGCCCTCCTGTCTGCCTGACAGATGACAGGTCCCCATCCCTCCCCTCATATCACTGCTAATCTGCTATCAGTAGTAACAGATGCCCTATCTGTTACAAGTTGGTGAGGGGGATTAGGACAGGGGTACACTTGTAAAAACAAAACAAATTTAAACTGGGAGGAAGGGATACTGTAAGTCTGGAAATGTTCACAGTGGTTTTATTGTCATAGTTATTGCATTGACTTGTGGCACCACAAATATACATTTCCAATGTATTGCTACTTCACTACAAAATTGTTTTAATTGTGAACTTGAAATACTGCAAAAAACTCCTTGTACCAATGGAATTAGATCCCTGCAAAAATAAGGGAGTTCGCAGTATCGACTGATGTGCCACTGTAACTTTATCAAAGAACAAAGGAAAAAATCTTTTGATGTTTGTTTAACATTTTCTGTTACTGGAAATTGAAACATGTGAAACAAAAAAAAAGTTGTACTTTAATTTTGTCTATCAGAATTTTTGGCTCTTACTTGTTTTCTTTTCTTCAAATCCCTCTTGGGTGGTTATAGTTGTTTCCTCTGTCGCTATGTTTGTTTCTCTAAATTTATTCATGAATACACATTTTCGTTTGTGTTTCCTTTTGTACCAGCCACAGGCTAGTATGAAAGTAATTTCCCAGGACAGCTTTTACACCTCCATTTTTCACTGCCTGGTTGAATCAGTGTGTAGTCAATCAATCAATCAATACAGTCCAGTACAAGCATGGGTTTCTGGAGGGTAACGATTACGAATTATGTTAAATTCTCGGGGCTGATTACAAATTATGTTAAGCCACAAAGCTTAACATAAGTTTTTAATTCAATAATTACATAATTTGAATTATGTTGGTTTTGGGGTGGCTGCCTACTAAGTATCTTTCTGTGATCAGGTCATCCTTTGGAGAAGCTAGGGAACTGCAGGCTAGCTAGCATGTTATTTAAAGAACCCAACACACAGTATATATACTAGGGTTTGCATTTGCATGGCTCTTATTTTGTGAGGCTCAAATGACAGGGGCTCATGTCAGCCCACCATGACAGGGCAAAAGGCTTCAGGGTCAGGTTTCCTGTGTCAACAGGTACCTCCAGAATAATTTCATCAGCTTGGCCATGAATCATTGAATAACAAAGTTGTTTATTCCCAACCACCTGTTTAATAAGAGCTAAGGCGTTTCGATGACCGTCTGAGGAAAATGACAGACACTCATCGAAAGATCAGCTCTGAAATTGTTAAACAAGGTGTTGTGAATGAAGAAAGAACTGTCAACACCAAAAAAAGAGAGAAAGACACAAGGGCTGACTTTGACTTCCCAGGGATTGAACCCGCTCTGCATGCATCATGTCAGTCCACATCTGAGCGCACAACCACTAGACCAAAAGGTCAAGCTGGACTCATTGGGTTGGGCAGTTGGTGACCCCTATGTACTATTATAGTATTAGTACTTGCTGTTACAGAATTCAAACTTTTCTATACAGGTTTGGTACCTGCTCTCCTTCCCAGGGCAGTGTTACTCTCCTTCCCAGGGCAGTGAGGACATGCCCCAGTGGCTGATGGGAAGCATAGATAAGCCCATCTGCTTCCTGTAACCTTCCTATCAGCAGCACCAGTAGCTGCCAATTAAACAGGCTTCAGACAATTGGTGGGAAAGGAAAAGAGATCTTCCCATGCACTTCCTTTTGTTTCCATATTGTTGCCTCTTTTGCAAATCATCCCATAATTTGTTTCAACTACAAACTTCAATGCTGTGAAAACCTCCAACTGAAATAAAATCATTGCAAAAGTAATACCTAAATGCTTTAAGACAATTTGTGGGAAAGGAAAAGAGGTCTAATTCCATGCAATTCCTTTTGTTTCGTTATAATGTTGCCACTTTAGAAATCTGTCAACATTTTTGGCATGAATGTATGTATGTATTATAATATAATGGCATTGAGCCAGAAAGGACAATGGTACTTGGTACTTGTTGGCTCTAGAGGACAATATTCCATGATGAGAGATTGAAGACTGCCCCCTGTTATCCCCTTTATGTACTGCAGCAGATAGGGGTGACTGAGGACCACATTGTCAAGAGTTTCTCTCCAGGACTAAAGCTACATGCAAACAAGGCTGGAACTTCAGCTAAAACATTTCTTCACCATAAAATACAGTATACCTTGCTTAGGCTATTCACAGTGTAATATCTCACAAAAAATTCACAACAAACTACACAGCTAATGAAGAATTTCTCACCTCTTTTTCTTTTTAAATCCACAGAAATGCTTCCGCCACCATACCTCGACATCGACCAATCAGAGCAGACGTTTCACCCAGGTGACAGCCTCGCCGTGACCTGCAGGGGTCGTGCTCCCGTCAGCTGGAGTCACCCCGAAAACGTCGGTGCCAACACGGCGGGCAGAATCTCCGTCGAAATTCCCGGGAACGGAACGACAACGACAGCGGGGGAAGAGTACTCCAGCGTTCTCAGGTTACGTAACATGACGGCAGCCGACACGGGAAGGTTCCGCTGTTACTATAGCGACACGCTGCCGTCAGATGTGGAGGACAGCTACAACGCTGCGAGCGTTTATGTGTTTGTAAAAGGTGAGACTCAGTTCAACCTTTCTTTTAAGTTCAATATTTTCCATATGGCCAAACAGTAAAAGAGAGTTAAAATCATCTTTGTTAAGTTTTCACAAACATACAAGAGGAATAGTTAAAAACACCAAGGTCAGTCCATTATTATGAGTTAAGGAACTCACGGGACGCAAGGTAAGTATGCGTGAGCCGGACTATCTGGATGCCGAAACTGCAGTTCAAAAAGGTCTAATCAATATAATACTATTCAGAGTTTTACTTCAAGCATAGATTTGTATGACCTAATGGCTTATTAACATTTACTGCCAAGGTTACATATATCCACCACTACCACACACTTTTGTTTCTAGTGCAGCATCCTCCAAGTACGTACAATAACACATTTATTACTGGTGGTTCTATCTTGATACTTGAAACTACGTATAACTTGAAAAATCCACAGAAATTTGTGATTACATAGCTCTTAAGAAAAATCATGCTATGAACAATAAAGTTTCCAAAGGAATCAAGTTTCCTGCACATTTTTTTTCAGATCCCAGTAAACTGTTTGTGATGATGATGGAGAATATTCTCCAGACAAAGAAATATCGTCCCGTCACCATCAAGTGTCTCGTGACAGACCCCGAGGCAAATGTGACCCTTTGGACCAGGACACCAGAGGTAGGATTTTTTTTTTTTTATTCCAACATGTAATCACCAGACGTGGTGACGGCACACTCAAGATTTTTCAGCTTATATTAATGCCACCACCAACACAGGGGACAAATACAGGACAGGAAATACTCATTTACACCTGAGCAAAGTGAGGAAAGTCGTGTAAAGTGCCTTTCCCACGGGCACAAGATTGGTGGCATGTCAGGACCTCTAGGTTCCGAGTCGCGCACTCTGCCGCTATGCCACACGACCCCACAGTAGGATGGAACAATGAATGAGCAATAATGAACTTTATTTCTCGACAGTTGTACATGGTACAATGTATGGCAACAATAACAATGTGAACAATACAATCAAGTCTATTCTGAGACTACTAGTATTACTACAGGAACAAGAGGCTACTAGCTTGTATAACTACAGGAATTTGCTGTCAACCCATCCACGATGTAGATCTTTTCAAAAATGTAGCTTGTACTGGGTAAAAAGTTGGCAGGCTAAAATGCACTTCAGCTAGAACCCTGATTGAGACTTTCCCCCAGAAAAGCAAAAAAAAATCTGAATTCAGCTTAGAGATCAAATGCCTCTTCGTTACTTATATCTTTTCTATGTTATGGCATATCTTTGGCATCATTTGCTTGTCAAAGATTAACGTTATCTTACTTTTCTATGTTACATAACATCTTTGACATCATTTTGTTTCAGAAACAAACCCTTGTGGATGGCAGTGAGATTACGTATGACAAAACGGTGGGCTTCACACTGTACAGCCCAACTCCACGGAACAATGGAGGTCACATGTGCAAGGCTACTGTCGGGAACAAGACTGTGGAATCACAAACTTTCTACCTGTTTGTCTTTGGTGAGATTTAAACCCATTAAGATGGGACAAGAATTGTGGTTATCCCTCAGTGTTAGTGTTCAGTACCAAGGACAGGAATGTCAGATATCGCTTAGTGTTAGTGTTCAGTACCAAGGACAGGAATGTCAGATATCGCTTAGTGTTAGTGTTCAGTACCAAGGACAGCAATGTCAGATATCGCTTAGTGTTAGTGTTCAGTACCAAGGACAGGAATGTCAGATATCGCTTAGTGTTAGTGTTCAGTACCAAGGACAGGAATGTTGGTATCCTTTAGTGGTAGTGTTCAGTACCAAGAACAGGAATGTCACATATTGCTTAGTGTTAGTGTTCAGTACCAAGGACAGGAATGTCAGTTAGTGTTCAGTACCAAGGACAGGAATGTCACATATCGCTTAGTGTTAGTGTTCAGTACCAAGGACAGGAATGTTGGTATCCTTTAGTGGTAGTGTTCAGTACCAAGGACAGGAATGTTGGTAGTGTTCAGTACCAAGGACAGGAATGCCAGTTAGTGTTCAGTACCAAGGACAGGAATGTTGGTAGTGTTCAGTACCAAGGACAGGGATGTTGGTAGTGTTCAGTACCAAGGACAGGGATGTTGGTAGTGTTCAGTACCAAGGACACGGATGTTGGTAGTGTTCAGTACCAAGGACAGGGATGTTGGTAGTGTTCAGTACCAAGGAAAGGAATGTTGGTAGTGTTCAGTACCAAGGAAAGGAATGTTGGTAGTGTTCATTACCAAGGAAAGGAATGTTGGTAGTGTTCAGTACCAAGGAAAGGAATGTTGGTAGTGTTCATTACCAAGGAAAGGAATGTTGGTAGTGTTCAGTACCAAGGAAAGGAATGTTGGTAGTGTTCATTACCAAGGACAGGCATGTCAGTTATCCTGTAGCTCTAGTGTTCAGTACCCTAGTTTCATGTGAATAACTCCACAGTGAGTTTTGAGTAACTTCTCCATATAACACTGTCCCCAGGTGAGGCCCAGATGCCGTACCCAAAGCTGACCACCAACAGTCCTCTGGTGACCGTAGGAGAGAGGTTCAAGCTGAAATGTGAAGTTCGCGGCCCGCTGGACGGACTTCTGCACTTCAACTGGTCACTGCCTGGAGCTGATGTAAGTAGAAAACAATCATGGGCACCAAAAAACACGGTTTACGGAAAAAATTGAGCCAGGCATGCCTGGTGGTTTGGGGCCCAGAAAGGCAAGTTAGGCAGCCCTACCATTTCTGGAAGTCTGGAAAGAGCACTACAAGGTGACTTGAAATTTTGGGTAATTCCTAAACTCTGTCCACGATGCAAATAAACAAAAAGATGAAAGGAAATTTATTTTTTTCTTACTTTTCTTTCTTCGTTTGAAATGGTCCTTTTCCTTTTTTCTTTATGTATAAAGGTTATCGGAGGCCGTATCATCCAGAATGACAGTAAGAAAGAAGAGGACTCGGGAATAGAGCATTACATGCTGTTCACCAGCGTGCTGACTGTCCACGAGGCAGCCGTAGCCGATGGTGGGGAGTATGTCTGCCACGCTCGCAACCGCGCTGGGGCTGCCGACGCCAAGACTCGTGTCAACGTCTTGGGTAAGACTTGTTACTTCTGGTGGCACCAGGGCTCTAGTCTTCTTGAAATTTTGTTTGGTCAGCCAAGGTTCATGATTAGACCTGGGGAGAGACTGCTCACAATCTAGGGGTGTCTGGGGACAATTCTTATGTTTTCTAGCCTTTGAAAATGCAATTTTCCACACTTTTAGAGGCAAATCATGGGGTTGAGAGTGGTCATTGGTGGTTCTTTGGATGATTTTATACTTTTCCCAAGATTTTTGCCAGTTTTATCTAGTGCAGAAGAACAGTTTGTACTTCTCTTTAAAGTTTTAGTCTTTTTTTTGGTGGCTGAGATGTTTCTCAATCTGTCCTAAGTTTAAGAATTTACAAAGTGCTTGCCTCACAATTTCCTCACAATTTTTTTTCCAACCCTCCAACAGAGGATGGCTTTATACACCTTGAATGTGCTGATGGCAACACTACGCATGCCATGGTGGGTACCAGTCACAAGATCATCTGCAGCGTCAACGCTTACCCTGAGCAAGTGAATCTTACCTGGTACAAGGTAACTACCAACTCTGTCTTTTTACTTAAGGGATGGAAGTATTGTTTTGGGCGGCACTGGTGTATGGGAAGTTTGTACGTTTGGATTCTAGAGTTAGAAGGATGTTGTAATAGCCGAGTAAGTTATATGTCAGTCATACAAGCAATGTGGGAGTGAGTGGGCAGAGATTGGGTTTCAGTAGATTGACAGGGTTGTGACCCGGTATGTCTTATGTGGTAGGTTGACATTTGGTCACCAGGAATGTGTACTGTGTAATCATGGTATGAAACCTTATGGTGCAATAGCAGCTAGTAAAAAATAAAACTTGTCAGAAGTTAAAATCTCTGATTCCTTGTTTTCTTTTTTCTACAATTCTGGGATGACCTTAAATATACATGTTGCTTCATGTTAACTATATATGAAAAAATAAAACTTGTTAGAAGTTTAAAATCTCTGATTTCTTGTTTACTTTTTTCTACAACTCTAGCATGACCTTCATACAATTACCTTAGCATCATGTTATAACTAACTGAAATTTTTTTGATTGTCACGTTTTGAAGGACGGCCTCAAAATCAACAAGAGCGACAATAACTTCCCCATCAAAGTTCGTGGCGCGCGCCTCACTATCCACAACGTGGCCCTGGAGCATGCTGGGATATACACACTTGAGGCCAGCAACAGAGATATTACTGTCAGCAGCAGTGTACAACTGTTTACCTACGGTTAGTTGATGTGCTGTTGCATATTAATTAGTACCTTCATATTTTACAATTTGTGGCCATACACCTCTAACTCGAAAGAACCAGACCCATTCTCATAACTACCAAAAACAGCTTAGGATCTTTTGTCACTTACAATAGAAACCAGTCATCACAGCCTCCAACACTATGGCAACAGACAGTTCTCAGTTTGATGTTGGTCCATGTTAGCACATACATTGTATACACGTAATCATGCATAAGTCAGCAGGATTAAGATGATCCTGACTTAGACGTGTTAGCCATCAAGCCTCTAGGTGCCTTAAAACAGAGGAAAGGCTGCAAGAAGCCTGATACAGTCAGGTGAAGTCCAGCAGTGTTTATTTGTTTATTAGGATTTTCCATAAAGTAAAAGGGAGGGCAAAACACCTTTACAGGTTGCCCTCCCCCATATGATAAAACACAACAACAACAATATATATATAGTTAAAGTCAGCAATATATAAAACAGACGATAGATTGATGAAGTTAAGCATACACATGTAATTCAAATACGTCTGATGATATATGAAGGAATGAATCGAGTTGAAAGTGTATTTTCTGTGCACCAACAGTGAAGCCTGCTGTACAGATTGAGAAGAGTTCAGATTTCCAGAATGTGGGTGAGAAAGCCGTCCTGACCTGTACGAGCAAGGGACTGCCAGAGCCAAGGTGCAACTGGTTCTGGAAACCCTGCGGAAGCGAGAATCCACTCAGGTAAGTTATAAAGTCCTTCCTGCACCAGACGACGCAAGGGTGGTGCTCATCTCAGTTTCTGTAGCCCTTTGGCCACACAGTTGTGCAATCACTACGGTAGGAAGCCAGTCCACTGGTTAAGTGGTGGGACTGTTCACATATTCATTCCCAAATGTTGAATGCTAAGCAGACAAAGCAGTTGCACTGTATCTGGTACCAGTCTTTAGTATGACTTGCCAGGGGTCAAACTCTCGACTTACCAGGCCAAGTGTGTAGGCTTCACACACTCTACCCACTTGGCCATTGAACCGCAGCATTATCTACCTACCTACCTACCTAGTCCCATGACCGACACTGGTCGTTGGGAGGACAAGGCAGACCTTGCAGCAGAGGTGTAGCTAGGTCTTCCTGTCTTGGACAGCTGTCAAGAGCTGTGGGACGGTGAGGGACATCCAGTCCTTGATGTTATCCTGCCAGCATTATCTAGTCAGAGTATTCTTTTAAAAATAATTTTTAAATGTTCCAGGTGCGAGCCTTCGACGCAGGTAGCCTGGAGAGTGTTCCCGTTTAGGGACCATCCCAACGATCCACTTCAACTGCAGAAGGAAGTGTCAACCGATGCAGACGGCACCAAGGTCTACTCCAGCCACCTCATGTTGACCAACCCCACACAGAACGGCTTCTACAGGTGCACCACAGAAAACAGATATGGCAGGAGTGGAGCGATGACGGAGTTTCTAGTCACTGGTAGGTTTATGCAGTGCCTTGTTTGATTGTTTTTGGATAACCAGTAAACCTCCTTTTTAGGCGTAACACACCTGTTTTGTACAAGCTGCGTAAGACCAGACTGTGAGATTTAAACCACTCACATCAGGATGCATGGCATGTGGCTCTCCCCAAACACGGGACCTCCATTTAATGTGACCTTATTCACACAAAACTTTATGGACGTCAGCAATGGATCAAACGTGCCAGATCAAACGATTCTGATGGATACATTGATGTTTTTGCAGACGTCCCACATGGCTTCGGTGTGGAGTTTTCTACGCTGGACAGGATAGAAGGCGACGATAACGTCACGTTCAGTTGTCAGGCCAACAAGTTCAAGTTCACGAGTCCCACCTGGCACCGCGTAGACGCAGACAACGTGATGAAAGCCGTGCCCACCTCAGCGCTCAGGACGGAACGTACGCCGTACTCCAACCGACTGGTTCTCACGCTGCGCCGTGCGGAGCTAGAGGATGCTGGGAAGTACGTGTGCATGGCCGAGAGTCGGGAGGTCGGAGGTCAGCTCATGAAGGCCGAGACTCTCCTAAACGTTCAAGGTAAGATCTTGTTCTCCGGAATTAAGAGAAATGATATTGTCACATTGAATTTCATTTCTTTGTGGTATATCTAACCGCCTTTACAAGTATTATATTATTATCAGAATTATACTTTTGTTTGTTAACATTTGGTTTCCTGAAGAGAATTCAAGTCCCGGTAAAGACAATACTGGATTCTTATGATTTTTACCTTATTAGGAATGTTGTTGAAAATGTTGAGAGTCAAAATGTCTTAACCATTTTTGACCATTGGTGACACTCAAACTTTGCATTTTTTCGATCTTGTTTATTAGAGTCACAAAAGACATTAAACATGACCACTTGGTAACATCAAACTTTTCCCCCCTCTCCAGCAATGGTTCCACCCACCATGACAGCGGGATTATGGGACCGCATCGTGGACGCCTCCAACACGACCTCCATGTCGCTGACCTGCAGGTCGGAGGGCGTGCCCTCCCCGGAGATCCGCTGGTTCCACGAGGGGTCGGAGGTCACCGATGATGTGGCCGGGATTCGGCTGGAGGCGGGCGGCGAGCGACTTGTGGTGGAGCGGCTCTCTGCAAAGGATGCTGGGATATATACCTGCACTGCTGTGAACAGAGCTGGACGCACCTCCAGCAATGGAACAGTTACTATCGAAGGTAAGGGCTTAAAAACACCCAACATCCTGTCCCCAACCGTTCCAAATTGCCGAATCACAAAACATGTTTTACTTAGAATAGAGCTGGTCAGCTGTCCATCAATGGAACAGTCACCATCGAAGGTACATGTAAGGGTCTAATTTACTGCAGTTGAACTGTTACAGTAGAAAGTCATGATCGAAGGAACTTACATTTTTATGTACATTTCATGTACAGCAATAGAATAGTCATAATTGACAGTACTTACAGCGAACAGAACAGTCACCATCAATGGTACTTGCATACTTACTTAATCCTCTTGAAGTTCACTCCTGTTTGAGCATCAGGTGGCAACAAACTGCTCCAATCTTGTACCAGGCCGTTTTTCTTGCCTTCATTTCTTCCACCACTGACTCTAGAGGTCTGCCTCTCTCGTGTTTTCCTTCCATCTTTTGAAGGTATATAATGGGTCTTCAAAAGACCCAACAACTTGTTGTCAACTTTCCAAAAAATATAGAACCCTTTCGAAATGGTTAAACAAAAGAAACAACAAGCCCATTAGTAAATTGTCATAATACATACCTTGAACTGACCTTTGTTTTCTGTCTTGCCAGGTTTACCCTCGGCTGTACAAGGGTTAATGAGCACCGAGCAGAAAGTCCTGCTGGGCTGTCTGATGGTGGTGCTGGCTGTGGTCTGTGCTGTTGTCGTGCTGCTGGTCTGGAAACTCCACAGGGTAAGGTGTCATGTTGTACCAAAGTGTGACGACGTTGATGTCTCATTGCTGCTTAGAGCATGTTGGCAGAATGTTCTGCACCTGCGCAAAACCTGTAGTGCATTGTGCATAGCACTTCAGCAGAACGTCTCATATCAGGTTGTATTTGTGTATATTATAAGGTGTACATGTAACATCCCATCTGTAGTTTCCAAATGTTATGTCGGAAAAGATATCTACGTCAACAGGCAAAATTCTAATGCAATGGCGACCAAAAATCCAAAGCTGCTATTTAGCTTGTACACCATGTATACTTTATTTGTTTTGAAATTCCTACAACTGTAATATTTTCTTGAAAATGCAATTAAAAAAATCCAATGAAAACCGTGAAAAATCAGGCTTTCGCGCATGCGCAGTACTTTCTGCCGACGTGCTGCTCTTTAGTAACAAGTGTTGCATTGTACCAAAGTGTGACGATGTGTTGCACCATACCAGAGTGTAACCACATTGATGTTTTACTACCCTACAGAGGAGGAAGCTGTATCAGTACATCTACAAGCTGGACCCAGACCTGCCCATCGACGAGCAGACAGAACTGCTGCCCTACAACAGCAAGTGGGAGTTCTCACGCGAGAGGATGAAGATAGGTGAGAAAATCGTCATAAATGTTTACCTTCGCAGAAGGAAAACATATAATTTTTGCTTTGTTTCTTCTTCCACAAACTCACTCACTCACTCACTCACTCACTCACTCACTCACTCACTCACTCACTCACTCATTCACTCACTCACTCACTCACTCACTCACTCACCTGTTTAAATTCTGAACAAATATCTAAAGTGGATTCAGTGTCTTGGGCCAGGGAAGTGACAAAAAGAGGGCCCTAAAGCATCTAGGATAAAATTCATCAACCTTTAAGTATGTTTCATATTGCATTTTAAGCTCGAATACATCAATGAGTTATTTTCCTTTTTTTATCTGACAGGTAAAACTTTGGGCCGAGGCGCATTTGGACAAGTGATGGAGGCGACAGCCTTCGGCATTGAGAAGGACAAACAGTGCAGCACTGTGGCAGTCAAGATGCTGAAGGGTAAGTAAAACACGAATCCTGTTGGTTGGTTCTCAAAGAAAATACTATAGGGGAGGGACTACTTGGTAATAGCTTGGAAACGTGTATGGTGACAATTTTGGTACTTAAAAGCTCATTAACGTTTGTAGTAACAATTTTGGGGCCACCAACTTTCATATCACGGGTGAGATATTCTGGCAACCCCAAAGCTAATGTTAGTAGACAATATTTCAGAATAATTTCATTCGGCTGGTGAATGACTCAATAGCAAAGTTCTTAAATTATTCATAACCACTTGTTGATGCCATCTTCATCAGGGCAATTATGACTTGTTGGAATTCATTGGACCAGTCACAATTACCCTGATGAAAAAGACAAACGATCATCAAAATGTCGACTCTTTCTAAAGTAGTGGCTGTGAATAAAGAACTATGCTATTCAGTAGACAATATTATCATTGGTCAGACTATGATGTGTTGTCCAATCACATTGCTTACAGATGACGCGTCATCCAATGAGGTGAAAGCTCTCATGGACGAGCTGAAGATCCTGATCCACATCGGCCAGCACCTGAACATAGTCAACCTGCTGGGTGCCTGCACAAAGGACGGTGGGTCAAAGGCAAAGAACAGGGAGGGTTGTGTGAAAATGAAAATAACAATTTGCCTGCAACTATGTCAACTGCATAAGGGTAGGAGATGATCAAGATTTTATGCAAAGGACGCACTAGTTCCTGATCTAAAAAAGTACTGATATAAATCATTTGTTATGCCAGAAGTATTTTGAGTTCTGGGTTTGTGTAATCTGTCCTAACTGCTTTAGTTGCATGGGAGATGATTTTGATCTCCAAGCACATCCCTTTTGGTGGCAAGACAGTATCCAGTCATCATCATCATCATTGGCAGTCCAGTCTCTGAAGACTATAAGACAGTATCCAGTAGCCAGAGGAGTTTGTGCTATTTATATTGTGGCTAATGGACGCTCCTCTGGCCAATGGACACTGCCTTGCCACCGTAATATCTGCTTGGAGATTAATGAAAACTATTCAGGGAGGTCTGTAAACTTGATTAGGTCATGAAAACCCCAGGAGTCTGAAATGTCTTGTTTCTTTTGTCTACTTTAGGCCCTCTCTATGTGATTGTGGAGTGCTGTAAGTACGGGAACCTTTCCAACTACCTGCGAGGGAAGCGGAAGGGCTTCGTGGAGTCGAAGGATCAGCGGGACCGGTCCAGCTCCTCCGGGTACGACAACTGTCGCTACGTCGACAGCCCCAACGGGAAATGTCTCAGGACGATCAGCAAGGAAGGTGAGAAGAAGACTTCTTATACTATCATGAAGGTTCATTTGTGTTGGTAGTTACATGTTTCAATTCGAGATAAATGACCAATTTCTGTTACAGCTCCTTGTCAACTTGTACCTACATTTAACAATGGTATACACAAAATAATGTAATATATGTACCTGACATTCACGCGCCCAAAGACCCAAAACACTTCCTGGAGATCGGAGAACTTGAAGGTCACGAAAACCAAAATACCTCCCAGAAGTCTGAAGTCTTCAACTTGTGGGATCCAAGTCAATGCATACAGGAATTGCTGTCATCAAACTGAGTTAAGGTTTAATGGTCCACTTATTATTGCAGGTCTGATGAACTATGACTACACCTGTGATGATGGAGAACCCCTGACTCTGGAGGACCTCGTGTCTTACTCCTACCAGGTGGCTCGCGGCATGGAGTACCTCGCCTCCAAGAAGGTAACTTATGAAGTCTTTAAGGAAAGTCTTTAGGGGCTCCTGGAATCACATACATCTTGCTATTGTTGTATGATCATAAAACCGAGGGCATTCTTAGGAGTCGTGACAGTAATGCACGTGTCCTGCAAGATTCAGCTGTTACAGAAAAGGGTATCTTGTCGACGGCAGGTGGCTGGTTCTGTCTCAGCCTGAAAATTCTCACTCACTCACTCACTCACTCACTCACTCACTCACTCACTCACTCACTCACTCACTCACTCACTCACTCACTCACTCACTCACTCACTCACTCACTCACTCACTCACTCACTCATGGTTTAGTGTCTGATGTTTCAAAATTGTACAACAAATGATATAAGTAGCTGTAAGCAATCAAATGGAGGACGGTGGAAATGTGTTATTAAGGTGCTTGATATGTCTGTGCTGATTATAGCCAAACAGTGTTAAGTGCAATGAATACATGCTTATATGTTATGATACTGTACCCATTCCCCCCAGTGTATCCACCGTGACCTGGCCGCCCGTAACGTCCTGCTGGCCAAACACAACGTGGTGAAGATCTGTGACTTTGGTCTCGCCCGCAACGTCTACTCCAATCCTGAGTATGTCAAGATGGGAAATGTAAGTTCTTCTGAATTTTAGATAAAGAACTTTAACCTAGAAAAAAATGGGAACAAATGTTGTGTTTCCGATTTCAGTTCAGGGCTTAGATGTGTCTCCAGTACCTGTCCCTCCATTTGTTACTGTTTCACCCAACTCACTCATTGACAATGAGAATTTGCTTATAAAAATGTGTGACATGACATTTCAGAGGGTTTGAAATTAAGATGCCTAATTCACCCCCAAAGTCTAGAGTTCGTTGGGAAACTGGAAACACAATTTTTTTCTTGTTTCTGAGATAAAAGAAAAAATGTGTCAAACTATTTCTCTCTTTGTTTAATCCTTATCCATAGCCATTTTTGTCCCTTATGCTTGTCACCAAATGGTGTTTGTGTAATAAGCTTTAAAAATATCATCCATGTATATTCAAAATAATGCTTTCGTTTCTGACCCAGGCCCCCCTTCCTGTGAAATGGATGGCTCCGGAATCCATCTTCGACAGAAGTTACACCATCCAGAGTGACGTGTAAGTTGGCTGTGAACAATTCTTTATAAAACTTCTTTTTTTTTAAATATACTGATCCCATACTTGTTTATCGAGATTTACAAGATGAACATAACAGATGACTATCATCTTTTTATGATGTCAACCTGTTGCTTTGCCTTGACTGTACTTATGTGACTTACTGTTGTGTTTCTGTTTGGTTCACAGGTGGTCCTACGGAGTGCTGCTGTGGGAGATCTTTGAACTTGGTATGTTATAAGTTTGAATTTTTTTTTTAGTGAAAGTAAAGAGCATGAGTACAATGCAAGAGAAGGCATTTAGAGTTGTTGATAATTCTATGCTCTGTGTATTTGAAATATCCATGGAGTATGCAATACCATGTTTGTCTGCTAGGTGGCTCCCCGTACCCTGGTGTTCAGATCAACGAGGATTTCTTTGACAAGCTTCGTCAGGGATTCCGTATGAGACAGCCCAAACATGCTTCTGATGACCTGTAAGTATTTATGTACATTGATCTTAAAATACTATAGGCTGATTACTCTGGGTATGAAGTATTGTTTTGGGTGGCTGAGCTGTGGGTTTTTTATGTCTGTTTGTCAAATGGAGCACAAAACCCCCAAACACGTCATGGAAGTATTGAATCTCAGATTTCTTGTTCTGCAAGTCTTGATTAGAAACAGCTTGTCACACCTATGGTCCTGTCCATCCATATTGCAAAGATATCGATGTTTGATGAAGTGGTAATTATGGTTTTTCAAGACAGTAAGTTCCAACCTACAGTGTTTCATAAAAAGGCTTCCAAAGAAATGTTATAAACTTCTTCCTTTGTTCCTTTGTTATCCTAAGGTACCAGATGATGCTGGCCTGTTGGAGAATGGAGCCCACCGAGCGGCCGACCTTCACTGACCTTGCCGAAACCATGAGCAACCAGCTGGAGGCAACAGCTGAACAGGTGGGTCTGACCTTTGACCTCTAACAGGTGGTGGGTCTGACCTTTGACATCTAACAGGTGGTGGCTATGACCTTTGACATCTAACAAGTGGCTGTGGCCTTTGACATCTAGAGATTCTAATCAAACAAATGTGTCTTCAATGAAGTTTAGATATCCAGGTAATGAGATACACAACAAAACAATAGTGGAATCTACTTGAAAGGTCTGACAGTTTCTGAAATCTAACCAGTTGCCTGAGTAACTTTTTTCTTGTATCTGTTCTCTGTGACTTTTAAACGTGACCATCAAGCAGCATAATATTAAACTTTTGCAGTGTTTATATTTCATGGTTGGAGTCTTTTAAGTTACTCACTAACTTTTACATAAACCATGCATCCACTAACTTAAATTTTTACTCGTCCCATATTAGGAGTACCTTGACCTTTCACCTGAGATCCATGACGACGAGGATTCTGGGATACCGAGCTCGCCCACGGAGGCGGACAGCTTCCTGCCGACCTTCCCCGCGGACATCGAGGCAGCGGCACGACAAACATCCCGTCCCGCCAGCGGTAACTACGACAACAGTAACTACGACAACAGCCGGCCTGAGAGACACTCGTATGGAGACATTGTGGATGAGGAGGAGGCTGTGAAGATTCTGATGGACCATCCCGGGCAGCGGGCGAGCTACCATAGCGATCCCAAGGTGGAGTCTTGACCCTGAGAACTTGAGATTTCAGACACTACAAAAAAGCACTGAGGTCATCACCAAATTGAATCATTCGGTGTGAATATTAGTACATAGAGTGCAGTAGCCGTGCTGCATGCATGGTGTTGGGCAAAACTTTTTTTGTTTATATTGCTATGATCAAACTGGAGAAACAATTCCTGTTCGATTTGCAAATTCTTTCTTATTAATAACCGAGCCTCTGCAATGCTAAATTGCTGCAAATATTTTTTGAGTACTAGTATTTGATTGCTGATGAAATATTATTTTATTTTGTTGAAGTTGTACACCTCAATTATGCTTCATATCGATAATGGCAAGTCAAGTCATTCTCACTGGCTTGATTGCAAACTTTTGCAGTAGTTTTACATTTTTTGTATTTTTTTCAGTTTTCTCCCTTGTATACTAGCAACTACTATCCCATAAAATTTGTATCAACCCTAATTTAAAATACAGTGAAAGTTTCATGATTTACAGTTATTTACAGAACTTTGCATGGTCAACATGTTTGCTCATTGTCCTCGGTTCAATGTTCTCTCTCCAGGCCCTGGTATCCAACAGCGTGAGTCTGGGCATGCGGAAAGGCCAGGGCAGCAGCAAGAGCAACGATTCGGTGTCGTCCAGCGGGTCCCATAATTCCAGCGGTTTCCACTCCTACGATGAAGCACCACCAGACTACAACACCGTCGTCACGACTGATGTTTAAGAATAAAAAATGGAGGCAAACTTCCTTGTTACGTACAGGCTGTACATTGATAGCATCTACCAGGCTTCGGGAGGCGACTGGAAAGAGTCATTAAGAAGAAGAAATTAGCCAAATAGAGAGATAACATACCATGGGAGTTAGTCCAATAGAGAGTACATTTTGCCACACCCAAGTTATGTTATCTCTCTCTATATATTTGACTGAATTCTGAATTCTCTTTCCAGCTGCCTCCCAAAGCCTGGTAGAGGCTAGTACACGTGTGCAAACTGTATGCATTGTATATATTTATCATGTTGACAGTCTAGCTATTCAATGAAAGCTAGCCAATCTTAGTCCAATTTGTATACGATTAAGTACATCAGTACTGATCACTGACTCATCACGTTGGGAAATGGAATTCACGTCGCTGTGAATAAAGTGCATAGCATGGCTATATTGTTAGGCCACACTGACATTACATTAAGTTGCTAGATTTTTTTACTGGCTTGCTATAAGTGTTACATCAAGTTTGATCATGGTTCCTATGGAAAATACCTCATTTTGTAGAGGCAGCTCTTCTAAAGCTAACATCATAGATACTTAGGAATTCGAAAGCCAGTGATAGTAATTTTTTACATCTAGAATAGATGTACCTACAAAAGAATAGCTTAACAAAGATTTTTCGTTTTTTTTAAATCTTCGTTTTATACATTTTACATGTAAGAAGAGGGACAACATGCAATGCATTGTAAAGCAGTGTTGCGGAATTAAAGATGTATATAACAATAGAGTAGTACTAATTACTAGTATGTTAGTTTTAATCCTATATCTACTAGCCTAGCAGTAAAGTTTTGTTACTCTTAGATTTTTTATTGTTAGTTAAATTCCTTCAGGAAAGAAACAGATGACAATTTTTGTCATCGCTGTACAAATGTATATAAAATCCATGATATAACATTAACCTTTTAAAGGAGCTGTTTTTTGTACCAAAAGATTGAGCATTATAGTGCTCTTGCAGTACACATGTAGTATCTAGACTGAGACCACTAGTTATGTGATATTCAGTGCATGCACTGAAGTTAATGCTATTTTGTACGATTTTGTGAGCTGATACGAAGAAACAGTATCTTAACTGTTTGATGTTAGATAATGTTCAGTGTAGGCACTGAATTTAATTATGTTTTGTAACATTTTGTGAGCTGATTCAAAGAAACAGTATCTAGATGCAGACCACTTGTTAGATGCTAGATAATATTTGGTTCAGTGTAGGCACTGAATTCAATCATGTTTTGTAAGATTTTGTGAGCTGATATGTTTTTGTACCTGGGAAAAGCATTATAGCACTCTTGCAGTATACATGTAGTATCTAGACTCAGACCACTTGTCAAATGTTAGATAATGTTCAGTGTAGGCACTGAATTTAACTATGTTTTGTAAGATTTTGTGAGCTGATTCAAAGAAACAGTATCTAGATGCAGACCACTTGTTAGATGTTAGATATTACTCAGTGTATGCGCTGAATCTCATTATGTTTTGTGAGCTGATATGAAGAAACGGTGTACATAGATTACATGTATGCATGTCTTATAACTGCAGCTGTCTTCACTGGCTAGAAATAAGTAGTTAGCCCAGCTGCTTCACTGCCTGACTTCTCAAAGAAGCAACTAATTGTGAAATGTCTGTCTAAATACTAAATACAAGTAAAGTGTATTGCAGAATACAATTATTGCATATGGTTTTTTTTTACCTAAGTTTATAGAGCAACTCATCAGCACAATCATGTACTCAAGTTTGTTTTGTTGTTTCTGAATGTAACATCTAATACGGCCAGAATATGTATTAATGATTTTGTTAATTCAAGTGTGTTCAAATCCAGCCTTTTGTTCTTAAGATTTCAACTTTTCCATGAAACTGAACAAGCTTGCAGGCCAAGTGTGCTGTTCATGACATAGGTCTTTGTCTTCAAGTTGATGTTTCTCTGAATGTACTTTTCTTATAGCTTTATTAGATTTAATTATCAGTTAATAATCAATCATTCAATAAATCTTCTTGAAAATATATCGTTGCCCGTCTTGTCCAAACGATAATTTTGCAGACTTTAGTAGATTCTTCATTGCAAGCCATCCGGTAAAGAAACAAACCTGATGTAACAGGTGCATACGCGCAGTCGGCACGGTTCAAAAGAGACACCATACGGCTGCCTAAGTACTGCACCCAACTGAAGTACGAGTTTGCTTGCAGTACTTACTCAGCCGCATGGGGTCTCTATTGAACCGTGCAGATTGCATGCTGAGCGTGGGTTCAAGAGGGGAAGCGATGCTTCTGCTTCTTTGTTAGCCATTTTGTGTATCATATATTGATCAAAGGCTACCACGGAGTAACTGTGTACGTGTAGCGGGCAGGTAGACGCTAGGGAGTTGCTTGAACAAGGCCCGGGGACGATGGAAGACAGCGATCTCATGGCCACTAGTGGGTAGGTAAAAAAACTAACGGTTCGCAGAGCACAACTTATCCGGTTCGCGTTCGGGACACTAAAATCCCTGATTGATATCGTTTATGACTGATTTGTAGGGACCAAAGACTGCTCATTCAGCGTTACTTCCCTCCAAAATCTCTATTAAAGTTCAAACCAGCTCTTTCGCTTGCTGCCCTAATTTGTGTGTAAATTGGCTTGGTTGTTGAGTGATGAGAGCCCCAGGAGGCGTAAGTAGTATAGGAGGCCCAGTCAGGATATACATCATCAGCCGACTAACGCTTGTGGATAGATGATTTTTGATGTCACACACACACACACACACACACACACACACACACACACACACACACACACACACACACACACACACACACACACACACACACACACACACACACACACACACACACACACACACACACACACACACACACACACACACACACACACACACACACACACACACACACACACACACACACACACACACACGTGACACACACACACACTCACACACACACACAGACACACACACACGCTCACACACACACACGCTCACACACACACACTAAAAATAGTATACATATAAGGTAAAAAGTTAAAAACAATTGTGCATCTAACGTAACATTATAGTGAAGTCTGAAAATATTAATTTATTATAAAATGTAAGACTACATTGTACCATGTATGCTCAGAGTTCCACAGCAATCGGAGGATGAAGACAGCTGCTTGATCATGCTGGAAAAGCCACAAGCCTTGAATGGTGTTGAAGAAAGAGATCAGAAGAGGACTCCTCCAGAAGACAGCACGCAGGTAATACATGGCATGTTTTGCAAGTCCTGCTTTAGCCTGGTATCCAGTCTGATCGTGGTTGGGGCTGCAAGAGCTCTGTCACGCCCGCCTCACATAGGTTTTCCGGTGTGTGTTTCATGACAGATTGATTAGCCCTCCATCGTGTTGGGGAAACCAAATCCCCAAGCATACTAGCGTAGTAACACTCCTCCCAGGACGGCCTGTTGCACTGGGCGGGGGAAAATATTAGAGCCCCCGAAGACACAACCTGCCTGAACACCCCAATACCCCCAATCATGTAAGACCGGGGTAGTGGATACCAGGCTAGTCCTGCTTCTGTCAAATGTATTTTAATTCGCAGTAGAATTCGGAGGGAAAAGGAGGTTTTTGCAGCATTTCGAATTCGTGATTGAAACAATTCTGTAACAATATACTTGAGTGGTCGTACAATTTGCAGTAGGAGCAACTTTTGAGATGCAAATGATATATTCCAGAAAGACAATTGTTCATTGTATAATAGATGCTATTTTCTGTCTGTTTTGTGCTGTTAGATTGTTTTCCAAAACGTGTATATGCAATCGGTTTCAAGCACAAGAAACCCTTGTTGTCTATTCAACAGGTCTATTCAAACGGCAATTCAGAAGCAGCAACAGGAGCCACGTCGAGTGATCTCCCTGCCGAAATCAGCCGCGACTTCCTTGAGTGTTCGATCTGTTGCGAGATCTTTAAGAAACCCAAGATCCTCATCCCCTGTCTGCACACCTTCTGTGTGCTGTGTCTTAAAGAATGGGTGAAGATGAACGAAGACGACTCAACTTTTCCTTGCCCTTATTGTTGCCAACAAGTTGCCTTCCCCGAAAATGGCATCGCAGGCCTGAAAGATAACTTCTTCATGGAGAGTTTAGTAGCAACCTTGGCTGATTCAAACAACAGTCGGCATACTACTAAAGATCTGGCCAAAAGCCAGCACTCTAAAGATCCACCTTATACCCAGCATACTAAAGATGAAAACACCCAACGTACTAAAGATCCAGTTAACACTCGGCACACTAAAGATCCAGCCAACACACATGCTGAAGTTTCAGGCATCCACTGCACAAACTATGACGAAGGAGAGCCAGCCTCCTCTAAGTGTTCAAAGAGCACCAAGTCTGTCGGTACTAACTGCAAAAAAGTGCATCGCGTTTCCAAGGCAAGCAAGTGTCCCACGCTCTTCACTTCTGAGGAACAGAAGACGGGAAAGCATGACGGCGTCTCCAGTGCCAAGAATATAGCTCCGCAGTGCTCCAAACACCCAGGTGAATTCCTGAAGCTTTACTGTAGGAGCTGCGAGACTCCGATATGTAACGAATGCGCCCTGTTCGAACATCGGGACTTGCTACACAACTACGCACGCATAGAAGAGGTGGCCACGGAGAGAAGAGAGCTTATCCTAGACCTCACACCACAGTGCCAGCCCCGGATACAATTCTACCACCAGACCAAGAAAGTGCAGAAGCGCATGTTGCAGTACCTCTTAGAAAATGCAGAGGGTGCTCGTGAGAACGTGCGCAGTAACGGACAATCACTTATCTTGATGGTGGAGGCGGAAAGGGATAGACTTCTGGGCTGTATCAACGCAGACGTAGCGCGCAGAAAGAAGCACATAGAAGCAAAGATAGACAGAGCACAGGTCAGTCTCGCAAGCGCCAAGAGCACACGTGAGTCTGCAGAGACTCTAGCTCGAGATGGCTGCGACTTCGAAGTTGTATCGTACTCGCCTAAGATGATGCAGATATTGAGCATCCTGGCTAAGCCGCCGTTTGAAACGGTGGACTTTGAGTCAGCAGATGTTACCATCGATTACTCTGCTCTGAAGAAAAAGTTGGCAGAAAACAGTCCCGCGAATAAGAAGTATACCCTGTCGAAGGAACAGAGGCAGAGATCTTGGATAGGTCCAAGGAAACATGCAGGTGAGTATAATGTTGTACCTCAGGACTGAGGTATTGTATATAGCAAGCAGTGTAAAGTAGAGTGGATTCATTCCTCAAGCTAACCAAAAATTCTTTTACACCGCAGTCATCCCTCAGTAAGACCAAGGAGGTTGAATACATGATTTTTAACCTCCTTGGTAAGACATCTGGAGCTGCATAGTTCTTGTTCAGGTTGTCACATACTGTATATAACAAACAGTGTTAGAAGTAATGTCACATGTAGTACTAGTATCCTGCAAACTTTCAAAAGATAACTTGCTTTTTACATAACAGATAGTCCTCACACTAGTTCACAGGCATATAATGTTATAACTTTTTATAAGTGACTTGTAAAGTTCAATGTTCCTTTTACAGGGCACCAGAAGAGTGTCCTGTAAATCATGGTTGAATGTTATCAGTAAGTGTATTTTGGTGTCAATGGTGGCATTTATAAATATAAGCACTTTTAACTCCTTACCCCAGGGGAAAACAAGAAACATGTGGCAAAGGGACACAGCAAAGAAACAGACCACCAGAAGACACCAAAGAGCCGTGATCACACCTGCTCCATCTGCCTGACAGTTCCAGCTCAGCCAGTGTATCTTCCCTGCAGAGACCGTCAGGGCTGCGAAGCAACGTTCTGCAGAAAGTGTCTAGCCAAGCATGGTTCCGATCGTTGCCCAGTCTGCTTTGCTAGTTTCGTGCACAAACTGGTGGGCAACCAGCCTGAGGGAAGCATGAACGTGTCGGTGAGCAGCCACATCACTCTGCAAGGCTATGAACAGTGTGAAGTCATCATCATTGACTTTGTGTTTGCGGACGGAATTCAGGACAGGGTATGTTTGTCATTTTATCTTATGGGTCAGAAAATGTCTTCATGGATTTACCGGTAGTGGCGAGAAGCAGAACTCCAGTCAGATAGTTCTGAGGTGGGTGGCTGATAGGCATCGAAATGTAAGCAAAGGTTGTGTATAAAAAAATCCCAATATCCATACAATTGCCTGTATTTTTCAGCCAGAACATCCAAATCCAGGGAAACATTACCAAGGTCTGAGGTACCGGGCGTACCGCCTGTATAACACCGAGGGGAGGGGGGTGATGTGTCTACAGTCAGATACCTTCCTCAGAGCTTCTGACTGGACTTCTTCCTGCCACAGAGTTCTATATGTAGCCAAAGAAGTAAGAAGCATCACTCCAAGCGGAGACTCTTAAGAAGGTGTCTAATACTAGTAATAGGCATCGAAACACAAGCAGGTCGCTGGTGAGAAAAGAGTACTGGTTGTTTATGAGAAACTCCCAATATTTATTACCTTTTTTTCCTGTACTCTTCAGCCAGAGCAACCAAACCCAGGCAAGCGTTACCGAGGGCTGTGGTACAGGGCCTACCTCCCGTACAACAGTGAGGGGAGGGGGGTGATGTGTCTACTGGAGAAGGCTTTCAACCGAAGGCTGGTCTTCACCCTCAGGGCATCACGGGGACCGAGCGATGCAATCGTCTGCCAAGACATTCAGCTCAAAACCAGCCCGTACGGAGGACCAGATGCGTACGTGTTTGTATATATATTTGTTTATTTTTCTTCATCATTTTTACCCAGAGTTACCCACTCAGTGGTAACACACATAATTCACATACAACAATGAAATTAAGGTACAATAAATACTAATAATGACAATGATAATAATAAAGATAAAGCCAAGGCTGCCTAACTAGCACAGGGCTATTATTAAGGGCAAACCTTGTGGCTAATATGAGACGGGGGGACGCCAGGCCTCCATCTGGGTGATTTGTAGTGAATCCCCAAATCCGCACTGTAGTGCTTGGACTATCACACATTGGGGCATGCCTCTACTCTTTTTCTTAAAGTTGTGGTGGGATCTTTAATGTGCCTATGATGTATGTTCTACTGATATATCAAAGTTATCAACATTTTCTTCTTTCCTGCAGAAATGGCTACCCACACCCGGGTTACCTAGAACAAGTGAGAGCACAGCTGGCAGCCAAGGGCATCAAGTGAACAGCATACCACTTCCGAAGCCTGGTAGAGGCTAAGAATTTGCTAGTGTTTGGGCTAGTTACCTCTGGGTACGGAAGTATTGTTTTGGGTGGCTTGAGTTAAGTTGCTTGTCCGACTTGCTTTCAGCTTCATATTGGGTAAGAGGTGATTTTGACAGTTGACTGATAGGGAGGACTCTGATCTCTTGAGTATTTTTCTATCTTTCTAATCTTCATTGATGTAAATGTGAAGACTTCATGTGAAACATTAAAATTTTGAAAGTTTCTTTTGTCACCTACAAAATTAGAAATTAGCACGAATGCAAGTGTACAATAAAGATAGAAGTAGATGTACAGTAGTATACATTGTCACTTCATACTATGCCGAATTCTGTACAACACAAAAGTTCCACAGAATTGTAGTAGTTGCCATGCATTGTATTTCATTAGAACACAGTGATAAAGTTGTGTTATAGTATACGTTTGTCCAGATAGTATTTAAGCTTCAGAAAACTTTGTTGAAGTTTTCTTACAAAGCTTTCTTAGTATTGTAGAGAACTTTGATTGCAGTACTTTCCTCAGCTGCAAGATGTCGCTTGTGAGCCGACATGCCGGAAATGCCCACCATTTTGGAGATCAGAGGTCAAAGTCAAGTTACTCTATGCTACATTGAGTCACATGCAGGGTGAAAGTGCAGACTGTACGTAGTGCAGATTTAACGTAACAAAGTTTGAGAGCAAAGTCCATGGCAGGCGGCACATGACTCTCTCCCTTGGAACCCGTGGTGAATTCAGCACCTTACTTACTTAGACTTAGGGGCTCCCGCGTCTCGTGACGCATGAGGCAGTCAAAGCAGCCCAGCTTCCTCTGTCAGCAGCCAGCCTCAAGGCTTCCTTCCAGCTCATGCTGACTGCCTGAAGGTCTCTCTCCACTGTCTGTCGCCAGTTCATCTTTGGGCGCCCCCTCCTTCTCCGTCCTTCTGGGCACCACTGTAGGACCTGGTTGGCGAGAATTCAGCACCACCGGCTCAAAAACACGCCAGCACTTGAAGTGTGCCACGGATCTCAGTTTTATTACTACAAAGCTGCATTCGACTTTTACTTCAGACTGGAACCTCAATTGTTGCACTAGAAACACCGAGTGAGGAGTCAACATGAAGAACAGGGTGAGCGAAGACGGCACCAAGCTTGTGGCAACCTACGAACTCAACGCGATCCACCTCGATCGGACGGGCGCCCTGAAGCCTTGGACCCTCTCGCAAGGGAAGCAGGACATTTCGGCCCATGGACGCTTCGGCCATGGACATTTTAGGACACTTCGGCCACATGCGGTGGACGTTTCGGCCACATGCCGGGGACACTTCGGCCACGTTATTTATTAAGTTATCAAATAAATGTACGGTGTACTATATGATATGATGTATGAACACATACCGATTATTCGGAAAATCTATGGAATAATAAAGTGTGTTGAACATCCCCTTTTTTGTGATACGTTTCATACTCTTCTCGAACATACTGCAATAAAACCCACCTCAGTTATATTTGAAATATACATGTAACGCCCTTTTGTCCGACGACGTCTCTGCGTACCTTACACGCTCATATGATTTCCAATAGAAATGTAAGAATCATTTGGAAAACTAATGACAAGAAACACGAACTTGTGTATAACCTTCACCGAAATCCAACTGTCGGATGTCTTCGGAACTCCAGTCGCCGTGTTCTCACGATACCAGCAGTTCCACCTTCATCCGGAATTCTACACCAAAGTCAAGTACAACTCCGCCGCAGAGGTTGTGGCAGAGATCGGGCACGTTGGCAAGACTTCCTACGTCATCCAGGGGAGTGTTTGTCTTAAGACTTCCAAGGAAAGCTTGTGTAGCTTTAACACTCACTTGGTGCACGTAGACATGTCGACTCGCCAACCGACCGCCCTTCCAGAAAATCTTAGGAGGAAAGGAAAAGGCCCCAGGCCAGCTTTTAGCCTGCCGGTCCCGCCAGATACTCCGCCCATGTACTCCTGCAAGTTTAGGGTCGGAGAGAGCGATATTGACGGCAACGGACACACGAACCAGTCCGTATACGTACGACTGTGTTCCGATACGGCTGCGTTCGGTACGAAGGCCGGTAGGTACACATCGCTGTCGGGAGACGCGCTGAAGTATCCTGTCAAGAAAATCGCCATCTTGTTTCAGAGAGAAGCTTCCATGGGAGACGTGTTGGAAGTACAGTCGTGGGAAATCCCGTCCAAGCCTGTCTCCTTGTTGTTTCAGGTCAAAAGAGGGGAAGACGACATCGTGCGATGTTTGTTTGAATTGTATGAACACTTCGAGAGGGCAAAACTTTAAGAAGACATCTATGGTGTCAAAGAGTATACTATAGGTTTCACTACACATTGACGCAAGTTGTAAAGCTGCTTAGTACTGATGTGAATGTTGTCCTTTCCCTTTGAGGTTGACATCTCACTGTCTCACAGATTGTGTACAGTTAATCTAGTATTAATCATGGATGTAAGGGAAAGAGGGCAAAACTACAAGGAAACATCCATTATGCCCACAAATAGTAATGCTAAAGTACTCAGAACACACTGTTCATGATCAAAGGGCAGGTAACTATAATGACGTTACCTATGAGAAAAGCCGGTCGATAAACCATCAGCCTAATTATTAAAACAGGCTTCAAAAATTTCTATCATTATAAAGATATCCATGATGTCAACAAGTTGTAATGATTGCAAGTACACTCCGTCGATGATGACAAATAGAGTTTATTCAACTTTGATGCATCAAAATAAAAATTGTATACGATATATTGTAAAATGGTCTTTTCCCTGTGGCTATGTAGTATGTGTGTATGTATGTGTGTGTGTGTGTGTGTGTGTGTGTGTGTGTGTGTGTGTGTGTGTGTGGATGTACCTGTAGGCGTGTGTGTGAGTATATGTGAGTGTGTGTGTCTATAGGTGTGTGTGTGTGGCTGTGCCTGTATGTGCGTGTTTGTGTGTAAGTGTGTGTGTGTGTGAGTGAGTGAGTGTGTGTTTGTGTGCCTCTGTGTGTGTGCCTGTGTGTGTGTATGTGTGTGTTTCTGTGTGTGTGCCGTGTGTGTGTGCTTGTAAGCATCTAGCACCATCATGGACTGAACACGTTGAGGATGAGATAGTCCTCCAGCCATCCCGGCAGGATGCGGACCTTGGAGATGGGCCAGGTGTAGGATGGGACGTAGATCTCCCTGGTCCTGGTCGCCCCTCCGCGCAGAATGGTCGCGGCCGTCTCGTCCACTGGCGCGGCAGTCTCCAGTAACTTCTCTCCTCCTGGCATTTTCTGGAACACAGATTTTTGCACGGATAAAGTTAACACTTTTGTTTCAACACAAAAAATGCAAATATTCTCACCTCTGGCTTTCGACTAGTTACTCTGGTCTTCCACAGACTGACCTTGAGTGAGGCTTGTCACGTCAACACTAGGAATGCATGATTTGTTATTTGCAGAAGGAAAACATTGTTTTTGCTATATTTCTCTTCTCTTCTTCTCCAAACACATTGGGTCAATGACTTGGACCAGGCGTCTGTCACCATGGTAACTGATGCTGAGGCAGACACCCTGTGGTGTTCGGTTACATTATGTTGCAAGTTGCAGGATGGAGTTTGAGGGATACACACACATTGTGTGCATGTTTGTGTGTGTGTATGTGTGTGTGTGTTTGTGTGTGTGTGTGTTTGTGTGTGTGTGCGTGCGTGTGTGTACTGTATGTGTGTGTGTGTGTGTGTGCGTGCGCGCGTGTGTTTGAGTAAGAATAAACATAGAAGTAGTCTGATATATCGCATCACGCCATTATTTGCCAAACAAACAAGCAAGCAAACAGAAAACCAACCAAACCGCTGTGTACCTTGACCATGTCCACTACTGAGTCCGTCCCTATGAACCCGGCCACCACGTACGACACGGACACCTCCTGCTCAGCCTTCATCAACTCCACACGAAGCGAACTGAAGAACCCGTCCAGCGCGAACTTCGCCGTGCTCATGTATGTGAAGTACGGGCCGGGAAGCTTACCTGTGAAAAGAAAAGGGCAAATTACAAACTAGTAATTATTTGGACGGTAAGAATTTTCTTGATAATATCAACGATATACACAAAGGCGATGTCCTCCTAAGTACCGGTAAATTGGTATCTTGCTGCTTTTCTTATTCATCTGTCTTTTTTCTGTCAGAAAACAAACCGGTGAGACGGGTAGAATCTGTATCCGTATAGCTGGTATAGCCACCTTAAGGTGTAAGACACCAGCTTCGATCGCAGGCACGCGGCGGCAGCTGGTTATATTTTTACACTGAATGCCTGTCACATATATATAACCTTTACACATCTAAGTCTATTTATATAAAAACACAGAAATAAAAAAAAAAAATAAAGATAAACAAATAAATAATCTTACCTCCCAGGGAACCCATGACCACGATGTGCCCGTTTCCCTCCTTCAGCAGAGGCAGGGCCAGCGAGGCCAGCCGGACGTAACTGATCATGTTCACGTTCAGGAAGTCAACAAAAAACTCCATGTCAGGGTCCTGGTCCCACATCTGTAGCTTCGCCACCCTGTCGGTGAGGGAACCCAGACTCGAGCCTGCGTGGTTCAGAACCAGGTAGTCCAGCTTTCCTGCAAATAAATGATTATCATGAAAGTTGATCTGTATTGGTAGTAATCATAGTAAAAAGTTGAAGTTTATTCTAACACACCTGTTGTGTTGGAATAAAGTTTAACTTTTTACTATGCAAATGCATAGTGTTTAGCTTCACACTTCTCCAACATATTCATATAATGGTGGCCAGCCCCTTCAACTTTGTCCCGCAATTTGCTACATAATGTAATCCAACACCTCGTGGTGCCTGCTATAGCACCAGTTACCATGGTGACAGACATCTGGTCCAGGTTGACATTTTTTGTTTGGAAAAGAAGAAACAGAGCAAAAACAATTTGAGGAGAGGGCTGACATACGTTTCATAACTTTTTGCCCAATGCTCGAAAAATAAATGTGAATAAAATAAAATAAAAACATATATTTTCCTTTCGGGTAGGTTAACATACAATTGCTTTAGCTAGGAAGACATGAATGGAACGGCTTTTTGTGCCCTTACCGAATTTCTCCTTGGCAGTTTGAATGGTTCTCTCACAGTCCTGTGGTTTCCCCATGTCCCCGGTCACGTAGTGCGCCTCCGCAGCACCTAAAGACTTCGCCTTTGCGACAACCTTAAACAGGCAACAAACAAAGACCAAAGATGACTACTGACCGTTTTTCAATCGTTTTGGAATTTCAGAAAAAAGGATAGAAGAAAGAGAAAGGAATGCAGGAAGAAAGGAAGGAATGAAGGACGAAGAAGAAATGAAGGGAGAGAGGGAGGAAGGAAGGAATTAAAGAAGGAAGGAAGGAAGGAAGGAAGGAAGAAAGAAAGAAACCGTCACCTCCTTGAGTCGGTTCTCCCTCCTGGCTGTGATGAGGATCTTCGCTCCCAGCCGAGCGTACTGGTACGCCATCTGTTCGCCGATGCCGGTACTGCAGCCAGTGATGACGACAGTGGCTCCCCGTATGGACTCTGGTATCCATAAGAAAAGGTGCCGATAGTGGCAATCAACAAGGGAAACAATAAAACGGACCCGGAAGCAGAATTAAAGCTGCATGTAGACGTGTTCAAAATACTAGCCTGAGTGTCAGCCTTTTTAGCTTTCGTCCGCTCCCCACGATCCGCTACCGCCGAACTGTAACTCCTATATAGCTAGGGATTTCTGGGTTATACAGATACACCTGCGAGAGTTGGAAATGTACAAGGTGACCGTCAGAACTCAGTATACAGTATAGATATAGTTATAATGCCTGAATGAGCTGAAAATCTTTACAGAAAATGCACACTGGTCGGCGACCTCTTTAGTATACTACATTATTGTATATTGTATACTACGGGATCGAAATACGCTCAAAAATATCCTAACAGTGAAAAAACTGCCCCTCCCTTTTCCGACCCCATTGCTTGCATGTACAGCAGGTAGCTACTTCCGCATTCCTGGCGATATACGTAATAACATACCTGGGTCGAACCCATCGTAGCTCCAGTACACGCTAAGGCCCACTGCACCCAACAACACACACAGACTGGCCCACAGTAGACGAGACATGTTCTTCTATGGCACGTAAAATTTACATACAGTAGCTACAAAACTTCACCAAGCTTTCAGTATGCTACTACTTTTGACTGTACTATTCTGCGGTTGTGTGTGGGGGACCGATTTGCTTAAACATAAAGCACAAATGGAAGGCCATTTTGAGAAATAACTTACTTTTGATCAAACGACACCCAGTATGACAAGTCATCTAAGGATTTGGATCAACAACCAAACGAACAGAGTTTATTCGTTGTAGATATGAAGTAACGCCCCCGAAAAGTTAAATGGTCCAGTCCATACCAAAGCTGCTTGACAGGTGTGGGTTACAAGGTGACCTTGGATAGCTAGCTTGGATAGCTTAGCTAAGAATAGCTAAGAAGAAACAACAAGCTCGGCGTTACAGCACTTTGAAAAACATTTTTTCCTCAATGACTTAGTTGATTGCGTTCCATCTGTCTACACAGCGACTATTCTTAAACAAATACATGCATGCCATACATACGCGTGTATATGTACGTTTATATGGCACCTGTACTTAAATATAATGTGTTTGTATGGTTTTCCTACACTCAGAGTCCCATGTGCAAGTCTACTGTAATATTGGGAATATCTCGTTGGGCATCTGATGATACGTGTAAGGACTAGTAAATAGAATACTTAGTAATTCTTTTGACTAGACCTAGTCCGACCACACCTGAGGGGCGCGCTTTGTTCTTTTGTTGTTACCTGTCTACTTTGGGTCAGTGACCTTGGTCCTTTTTTTGTTTACGGACTGAACCACCTCGACGCAAAAGGGGGTACAGATCACACATTTCCGCCAGTTTGCATAAGTGAAGTGTAAATATACTTGCACGGTATCCGAACGACACGCACTACGTTACGAAAAATGTAGGTGTACGCAACGTTGACTCAACAGTTATGAAATGCCAGAGATTTTGTCACCACGCCCACTTGCCCCCCTCCCCGTATAAAATACACATTAGACAAGTCCTGCACTGAAGCTGTCGTCTTGTCAAGTTGAAGAACAAAGTTTGGCTGTTTGCACACAGCAAACATGTCTCGTCTACTGTGGGCCAGTCTGTGTGTGTTGTTGGGTGCAGTGGGTCTTGGCGTGTACTGGAGCTACGATGGATTCGACCCAGGTATGTTGAGTAAATAGATCGCTATGAATGCATAAGTAGCCGCCCGGGCAGTACTTGCAATTAAGGATCGGAGAAGGGGGAGGGGCAGTTTTTTTTTCACAGTGTGGAAATATTTGAGGACATTTCGATCGCCCATTGTGTACAATATTAAAACGTCAGTGATCTCCAAGCAGTGTACATGTATCTGTACAAATTGGCCACATTCAGACAAACTATATATATATATTTATAACATAGAAGTTATGTTGAATTGGGTCAAGGGTTCCAGGTTTAGAATGAGGTAAACCAAATCAAACCATAGTAAACGAATTCTTCAAAATCTGTGACAAGAGAGACAGAAATTTGGGAGGGGCAAATTATACACACTGCTATATTGAAAATGCAACAAAGCAACATTCTGAAATACACACCGGATGTTTCTGCTTGCTGTAATTCTTGAAATTTAAAAAAGTTTTTCTTCAAAAGAGTCTATCCGAGGAGCTACAGTCGTGATCACTGGCTGCAGTACCGGCATCGGCGAACAGATGGCGTACCAGTACGCCCGGCTGGGAGCGAAGATCCTCATCACAGCCAGGAGGGAGAACCGGCTCAAGGAGGTGACGAGATTTCTTTAGTTTACACAGAGAACGTCTACGTATATTGGTGACTACAAAATGCTTTGCAGAATGCGTTTCTTCCAAAACAGCAACAAAGTCATTCTGTTTTCTTTTTTTTCTTTTCATGTTTAGCTTTGCAGAAGGAAAACATATTGTTCTTGCTCCGTTTCTTTTTCTTGTCCAAGCAAAAAAGGTCAATAACCTGGACCAGACGGCTGTCACCATGGTAACTGGTGCTGTACTAGCAGACACCCTGTGGTGTTATGTTTGGTTACATTATGTAGCAAGTGGCAGGATAGAGTTGGCGGGGCTGGCCACTATATATGTAAATGTGTTAAGAATAAACAGAGTGGTAACTTGTTAGGCTAGACCTAGTTTAGGTAGACATTATGTATTTACTTTGCAAATGCTACTCTTCTAGTTGTCTTATTTCTTACCTGTTGCACTTGATCTGTTAAAGGTTGTCGCCAAGGCGAAGTCTTTAGGTGCTGCGGAGGCGCACTACGTGGCCGGGGACATGGGGAAACCACAGGACTGTGAGAGAACCATTCAAACTGCCAAGGAGAAATTCGGTAAGAGCGCAAAATGTTAATTTTTGGACCCTCTCTGGCCAATGGATACTGCCTGGTCAATTTGACACTGTCTTTTGCCACCCTAGGAAACTTGAAACTTTATTGAAACATGAGGATCTGCTTGGAGATTAACAAAATGGTTAGACATAGGGGAAAAACGTTGTGTTTCCTGTTATGACGAATTCCACGTCTTTGGTGTTTCCTTTATTTTTGTAGGAAGGTTGGACTATCTAATCCTTAACCACGTCGGTTCAAGTTTTGGATCGGTCTCCAAACTGGCCGAAAACATGAGGTTGTGGGAAGACAACCTGGACATGGACTTTTTCTTTGACTTCATCAACATCAACATGATCAGTTACGTCCGGCTGGCCTCCCTGGCTCTGCCTCTGCTGAAGGAAAGTAATGGGCACATCGCGGTAATGTCTACTTTCGGAGGTAAATAATTTTTTGTATTTTTTGGGCTTTGACTGCTGTTCTCTGAGAAAAAAATATCTAACAAGAATTCAGAGATTTGATAAGACTTCCGGGAAGTCTACTGAATCCCCCCCCCCCATTCATCTAATTCGTACTGGCTCCCGTTTAGATTATGAGGTCTTTGACCTGCTGTCATTCTGCCTGTCAATCTTCCCCTCTAACCCATGTGCTGTCAACCTACTCTGTCCGGACAAACAAACACACAAACCTATAGCTCAGCCACCCAAAACAATGCTTTCTTGTCCGTAAGTAAATGTTAAACGTCACAATTATACAAAACGTACGTTTGGTTTTAATACTAGTACTTATAATAGAAATTTAGCTTATGGACGATGTCTCTATTTTTTTTCCGACACAGGGAGGATTCCGACCATGTATTTTTCATACGGCAACACGGTAAAGTACGCGCTGGACGGATTTTTCACCTGCCTCCGAGCCGAGCTGATGAAGGCTGACCGTAACGTGTCGGTCACGCTGGCCATGCTGGGATTGGTGCACACTCCAAATGTCGAGGCTATCATGAAAGTAATGATCAACAATAATCAGAAAAATACCCATACGTTTGTATATTGTAATATATCCTAACAATGTATCATGTATATTGTACTTGTAAATTATATACAGCTGGTGTGATACGCCGAAGAGCGGTTATACGGATACAGATATACTACTACTCTGTTCATTCTCAAACACATTCATATATATATATATGGTGACCAGCCCCTCCAACTCTGTCCCGCGACTTGCTACTTATTGTAACCCAACACCACAGGAGGGTGGCTGCTACAGTTGCCATGGTGACAGCCGTCTGGTCCCGGCCATTGACCTTAAGTGTTTGGAGAAGAAGAACAAACGGAGCAAAAACAAATTGTTTACGTTCTGCGAAAACGCCAATCGCTCATAGAGGGTCTGCACACGAAGCTAATACAGCCTCCTTCGTTTCCTGATGCAGACCTAATCTCCCAGCAGATCTTTTGGTGGGAGTAAGACAGTATCAAATCGGCCAGTCTGTAACCATTTCCCCACCGAAGGTTAATGCAGACCTATCCTTTGACGAATATCAGTGACTGTTTTGCCTAAAATGTTTCACCGCAGAAAACCGGAGACGAGGACATGTTGGCTATGGCCGCCCCGGTGGACGAGACTGCCCTAGCGGTTATCCGGGGAACTGCAACCCGCACCAGGGAGCTCTACTACCCCTTCTACTCCTGGCCGATCTCCAACATCAGGCTTCTTCCTACTTTCTTACAGGACTACCTGATCTTAAACGTTCTAGCCCCAAAATAAGACCCATGTCACTTGCCTAAAATGTTTAACATTACACGAACATTATGTCTTATTTCATGTTGACACATGATGATGCAAAATTATTAGCATATGCGGTAAAATTTTAAACAAGTTGAGATTTTAACCATTTTAGTCACCTATTTTACTATTAGATATATGTATCATGGTGCCATACATGTACCTGTATGTATGTTTGTGTTTTATGGGTTTTGGTTAACCTATCAAATTTCTTACCACCGTGTGCAGAGGTTTTGTTTCCATGTGTTTGTCTGTTTGTTTGCTTGTGTTTCCGTAGTTATCCAGTAACTACATCACAGTAGAGACACAGGGTATGAGAGAAGATGAAAAGAGATGTGAGGCATATTAAAAGACCTCCAGTGGGCACACAAGAATGAACCTGTTCTGTCTAATCTTCAAGCAGATCCCTTTTGGTGGCAAAAAGACAGTATCAAATTGGCCAGGCAGTATCCATTAGCCAGAGAAGGTCCGCGGCCACCGACGGGGGTCAGGACAAAAAAAAACGGCCATATATAAAAAGGTAACGATCATTCCCCCACAACCTCTGCTTGGAGAGTAGTTCTGTCGAAAAGATTTGCATTGATCACAGCAGCATAGACCGACCACACCTAGCTGAGTACACACTATTCTTTGTTTTGTCTGCTGTCTAGGACCGGTATCTTCTTAAAGAATAAATGAATTAAGATAGACCTTAATTGTACGTTTATGCTCCTACATGTACAAGCTGAAGTACGATAACAGGTCATGAATGAACAGTATACAGTATACACATTACAGCAAATATCTTACCGTAACTATACACACTAATGCGAACCACATGTATCGTTACTATTTACAAAATGACCACAATGAAAAGCGTCCGATCGGTCGATTTGAGTACAGATGCATTTCACCAGTGCGTAAACAAACGCCCCAAAGAACAAAAAGCCACGCCCCCTTCTGTCAGAATACAGCCCTGCACTAGCCAAGGGGTCAGATCAGAGTCAGAACTGGACACTACAATGTCTCGTCTAGCGTGGGCCAGTCTGTGTGTGTTGTTGGGTGCAGTGGGACTCGGCGTGTACTGGAGCTACGATGGGTTCGACCCAGGTATGTTGTCGGGTCAGTGGTTCCGGGTTTTGCACAGCGTAAACAGACCGGTAGTGATCTGTGACCGGCGGTGAGTGGGGGAGGGGGGCAAAGTATGATGATGCACGGCACGTATTTTGATTCATAAAGCATTCCTCGGAATATTTTGACATAGATGAAACCTGGTTGGGGTTATCTATGAAGCCTAACAGTTTGCCATAACACCCTGTCTCACGTATGTAGCTTCGGTATGATACCAGGAAGCCTTGCACACGACATGAAATAATTTTCACATGGTACCGTACTAAACACCATACATACAAGCACATCGGTGAGTGGAATAGGGGTTGGGATACTATCAGGAGCTGGTTAGCAAAACTATTAGTAATTAGAAAAACATAATAATCTTTATCTGCACACACACACACCGATATTTGAAATGGATCGCCACAGTAAATGCTGCATGGTGTCAGTGGTAGAGATACTTACTTCCGGGTTGTGCCATTACAACTGTGCTCCCGCCAAATGGGAGATTTTAAGGGAGATTGTAGTGTTTTTATAACATGTCCAAAACACACAAGTGAAGTAAAACTCCTAAAGTACATACAGCCTCACGGTGTATGGTAAGAAACAAGCTGTTTTCATATTCTATGTTATATACATGCAAGAGTCCATCCGGGGAGCTACAGTCGTCATCACTGGATGCAGTTCCGGCATCGGCGAACAGATGGCGTACCAGTACGCTCGGCTGGGAGCGAAGATCCTCATCACAGCCAGGAGGGAGAACCGGCTCAAGGAGGTGACGGTTTCTTCCCTTCCTTCCTTCGTTCCTTCCTTTCTTTATTTCTTTCTCTATGCCTTCCTTCCTTCCTTCCTTTCTCTATTTCTGTCTTTCTATATGCCTTTCTTTGTTCCTTCCTTCGTTCCTTCCTTCGTTCCTTTTCCCACAACATTTGAAAACTATACTAGGACGTCATCCTTTTAATAGCTTAAACGAGACGTTCTGCCGAGGTGCTATGCTAAAGTTACTCCAGTATGTTAATAGGATTTGGGAGAGTCCACTAGACAAACCTTTAGGTTTCTTGGGCTCTCCAGCATATATTTCCTTGTATATAATTTCATTTTATACTGTTACTTTTTTATGTGCAAAATGACAATAAAGAAAATAATAAAAATGTCCTATCTCTCATAGCGGACGCTAATGCAGGCCCTGCGAGACCAGCGTCTCTCTCTAACATGGACAAAAGTGTAGTATAAGGACGTCCCACTCTACGTCTCCCAGTAGGAAGCCACTGTACTAGTCTACCAGCTTACTACGAACAACATGCCCTGCCAGTGCTATGCTTAATGCATGTCATTACGGGTTTCGCGCAGTCGCTGTTCTGCCGACGTGCTTGTACTTTGGAGAGAATATTCTTTCTTTTTACCAGTTCTACTTGCTCTGCATTAGGTAATTGCCAAGGCGAAGTCTTTAGGTGCTGCGGAGGCGCACTACGTGACCGGGGACATGGGGAAACCGGCGGACTGTGAGAGAACTATTCAAACTGCCAAGGAGAAATTCGGTAAGAACACAAGGCTATAGCAAAGGAGGATGCGTTTCATTTTGTACAAAGAAATCGGAGATTTCAGACTGGAAATATTTTTGTGTTTTCGTGATCTTCAAGTTTTCAGACTTCCGCAAAGTGTTTTGGGAACTGTGGAGGGATCAGGTATTGTGACCTCCCTATCAATTACCTGTCAAAATCACCTTCCACTCACCTTGGACAGACATACCCATAAAATCAGCCACCCAAAACAATACTTCCATACACAAAAGTAAGAAAGAAAAGGGAATGTCTGAAAATGATTTACAGATCTTTTTTTTTTAACGGTGTCGCTCAATGCAAGGCCAATTATTTTTGGCCATTTCTAGAACTGTAACAGCAACTATTCTCTCTGAGTCAGAAACATCATGATTGAGACCAGCCCAATTTCTCACAGGTAGTGAGGACTAACTGGCCCAATAAGAGAAGCAGGGGTTACGAGGCTGGTCGGGAAAATTCCCTACCCCATTTTAGACCATAATGGTTTGTTATAGATACAGATGTGTGCTCTCTTTTCAAAATTCTCTAGGCCGGTTGGACTATCTAGTCCTGAACCACGTCGGGTCCAGTTTTGGGTCCATCAACAAATGGGCGGAAGCCCTGCAGTTTTGGGAGGATAACCCGGACATGGAGTTCTTCGTGGACTTTCTAAACATCAACATGATCAGTTACGTCCGGCTGGCCTCCCTGGCTCTGCCTCTGCTGAGGGAGGGAAACGGGCACATCGTGGTCATGTCCTCATATGCAGGTAAAATTTTCTTTTGTACGTCCAATTTTGCTTAAAATTTCAGACTTCAGAGCGGATGGTGTAGACGGTACATTGAACGCGGCAACGTATTGCTTTATTCATATAATTGGATATGAGTTTAAGTTTGTGCCATTTGCTTATTTGTAGATATCGTATAGTTGTAGAAAACGGTAGAAAAGCCGCTGTACTTGAAAGATTTCTGTTTGTATAAACATTTATTTTCATCTTTATTTAAGGCACCTTAGGCCCAAATCATTACATAGATTTAATAACAGACATATATACGAGTACAGGTACAAATCAGTGAGATAATATAGTGATGTTAAAAGAATCAAACCTCGTCTAATCATTTTACTACTTTATTTTCTCCACAGCTAAGATCCCGAACCTGTACTATTCCCTGGCCAGCGCGGTTCAGTTCGCTCTGGACGGGTTTTTCAGTACCCTCCGTGCGGAGCTGATGAAAGCAGACCGGAACGTGTCGGTCACAATAGCCGTACTGGGCATGGTTCATACGGAGGGCACGGAGAGAATGCTGAAGGTAGGCTGTCACCATGGTAACTGGTGCTGTAGCAGGCACCCTGTGGTGTTGGGTTACATTATGAACTGATGAAAGCAGACCGGAACGTGTCCGTCACGATAGCCGTACTGGGCATGGTTCATACGGAGGGCACGGAGAGAATGCTGAAGGTAGGGAGATAATAGCCTCTACCAGACTAACTACGCTGACTTTATGTAGGAGAATATTTGCCAGGGGAGTTTGGCAGCCTTGTAGGTTTGACAGGCCGCCGCCTCGGAGGGAAAGGAAACCTCCACGCGGCCGGACTCCTTTGGCCAATTTTACTCTCTTTTTTTGCGGAATTCTATTATCCGTATTCCCGTAGAAAGGCCTGGTGGAGGCTATGGTGATAAGGTCTATGTCACATTATGTAGCAAGTGGCAGGACAGAGTTGCAAGGGCTACTCATTATATACATGAATATGTTTGAGTAAGAATAAATAGAACTGATGAAACAGATCGGAACGTGTCGGTCACGATAGCCGTACTGGGCATGGTTCACACAGAAGGCACGGAGAGAATGCTGAAGGTACGGTGACAAGGCCTAGGTCACATTATGTAGCAAGTGGCAGGACAGAGTTGGAGGGGCTAGTCACTACACTAGTCACTACGGACGTTCTGCTGAAGTACCTAGGAAAGCCGCCAGGGGGCTCTAAATCTAATAATTTCTATGCCTCATCTAGACCTACCGACGTACCAAGTTTCTTAATAATCCATTTAAAGCTTCTTGAGTTATCGTGCTATTATACCACGTGCACATACACATACATGCGCTGTGGAAAACATAACCTTGGCGAAGGTAAATATAGACGGCATGTCATCCTTTTAGATTTGCGAACACAACACTCAGGGCCGTAGCTGTCACCATGGTAACTGGTGCTGTAGCAGACACCCCAAGGTGTTAGGTTACATTATGTAGCAAGTGGCAGGACAGAGTGTGAGGGGCTGGTCTCCAAGTACATTAATGTATTTGAGTAATAAATAATAAAAAAAGTCTGTTGGGACACGTGAAGGTAAACACTGTGCACTAAATGCTTTCTGTTTATGTTCTTTTACAGAAAATAGAAGGAGGTGAGGCAATGCTGGCTATGGCCGCCCCGGTAAATGAGACGGCCCAGACCATCATACGGGGAGCGGCAACCCGGACCAGGGAGATCTACTACCCCTTCTACTCCTGGCCTGTCTCCAACATCAGGCGGCTGCCCACTTTCCTAGAGGACTACTTAGTCTTAGACCTTTTAGCTATGTAACACCGTTCATAGTTAGTCTCCACCAGACTTCTTTCGCAGGCTGAATAAATAGTAGAAATCGGCCTAAAAGGGGTATTAAAGGCATCCAATGCGATTTCATAGCAGCAAAACTGGACATTATTTGAATAACGCAATCTTTGTGATATTGACGCATACTGCTTCACATTAGCACATTTCATACTTTGGGTACTTAAACTGGAGAAACAAGCCCACAAGATGAGTCCTTTATTTTATGGGTGATACCCTAAAAATCAGCCCAGGGCCCTTCCAGTAACCATTTAAGAATTTTGGGAATTTTTGCTCCATGAGGGTCAATATACACTGGGATGGGGTGGTTCCAACTTAGTATGTAGATAAGTGACTGGAATATTGACTTTGAAAAATCGGTTTTCCAAGCCCTAAAAACTGCACAGGGTGCCTTTAATTAGCACTTCTCTGGCCAGCTACCTTCTCTGGCTAATTAATACCCTTTTTAGGCCGATTTCTACTATTTATTCAGCCTGCAAAAGAAGTCTGGTTGAGACTAGTTCATAGTCTGTATCGATGCCCCTTTTAGCTATAGATCTTTGTCGCTTCCCTGTCAAAAACACTGGGCCTGCATATATTCTATCCGCATTAAAAATGCAATGGTTTTGTTAACATTTGAGTTTATTTTGTCCTTTACATCTTCTATACATACTTACTTCTGGTGGCCTAAAATAATTTTGCACACATTGCTATTATATTTTATATATTTTATTTAATTTCATACATATATACTTAAACCTTCTCACAATAGATTCGCCGGATTAATTATGCACAAGTTTATTACAACGTAATTCTTAATTACAGCCAAGTCGACGTTTCGGTGACCGTCTGTCACCTCCCTCAGGGAAAAACTGACCATGCGACTAGTGCTACTTCGCAACGCAGCTAAGTTTTGCTGCTGCAATGTTAGGAATGCGGTCCCAAACATTGAGTAAAAATTCCTACTATGTACGGCTCTTGATTATCAAGACAATACCCTCAAATACAGTACACCCAAAAAATAAGGACGGACGTGTAGCTAGCCGCTCTCTCATTGGTCGCACGGCGAATTTTGCCATGCTATCATAATATTGGACGAACTCTAGCTGTTGGACAGATTCTAAAGGTTGGTATTAGACCAAGGAGGTGAAAATTCTAAACCCAAAAATCTAGACATTTAGATTTTAAACCCAAAATTCTAGATTTGAAACCTCCTTGGTTGGACGGTCAGGATCAGTCTTAAACTTGTGTCTTCCTATCCCGGTTACGATGGTGGAACGACCACCACCTCAGCTTTGCTCTGCTGCAGTCCCTGCCTCTCCCGCTAGGGTCGCTATTGCCGTTTGATGAGTTGGAGAAGCGGACCCTTCTTTTCAGTTCTGTAGGGGAGACACCGCAGTTAGGGTCAGTTAGGGCTCTGTATTGAAACATATGCAAAAACAGACCAAGAAAGGGGCATCATTTCTCAACTTTCTGAACTTTTGGTCACCCAAACTCACCTTCATGTGTCAGCCATTTATTAATATGTACCTACGGGAAATTCTGATCGGCGATTACTCTCCAAGCAGGGGTTGTGGGGGAATGATCGTTAGCTTTTTATATATGGCCGTTTCTTTTTGTCCTGACCCCACCAACGTCGGTGGCCGCGGAGCTTCTCTGGCTAATGGATACTGCCTGGCCAATTTGATAAGGTCTTTTTGCCACTGAAAGGGATCTGCTTGGAGATTAATCGGCGATAGCTATAGTTATAAATAGCGTGTTTCTCGTCGATCGTAGAATTCGGCAAAAAAGAGGAGTTAGTATGCCGCAAATAATTTCATCAGGTTGGAAGATACTTAGGGTATAGAGTTTTCTTCATACACAACCAGTAAGGTTCTCACCTGCTTACGTTTCGCCACCTACTTTGGTGATAAATAGCGGCGAGTTGCAGAACTCCAGTCAGAAACTCTGAGGAAGGTGTCTGATAGACATCGAAACGTAAGCAGGTGAGAACCTTACTAGTTGTGTATGAAGAAAATTCTATACCCTAAGGAGTTAGTATGGTAGAGACTACCTGTAGGCCTGACAAGAGCAGGCAGACCGCCGGTGCTTCCGGGGCCGTCTCGGCAGGGCTCCAGATAGAACAGGGAGCCGTCCGGCCGCACGGAGTCCAGCCAGGCTGGCCGCAGACTGCTGCAAGGGGGCATACAAAATATCGGAATGAAAATTATTCTAAAACTTACAATCTACAACTCAAAAACAATTTGACTTAAAAGAATGTCTCGGTGTTCATCAGTTATCTGACCCATGTGCTGTAGACACGCGTGGCGTCAGCACCGAGTCAAGGTCCGCTAGAGAGTACATTTTGCCGCACCTGAACTGTACTCTGTACTCTCTCTCTAGCGGACCAACTCCCCCGGCACCTTATCTCTCTGTTTGGCCGATTTCTACTCTTCCAGTCGCCTCCCGAAGCCTGGTACAGTGGTAGAGGTTTTATAGCGCGGCTCGTTAAACCTAGTCTCTACCAGACTAACTCCGCTGGCTATGTATAGGAGTAGGAGAATATTTGCCGGGGGAGTTTGGCCGCCAGGACTATATATCATTGTTCATATTTGATACAAAACAGGACAGCAGTCAGGGTTCACACCGATGCACAGCAGACAATACACACACAGGGCTTACCAAACTCTGCCCTCAAGCCAGGAGATTTTCTGCCCTTTCTATGCGGATTACGCTGCCCAGTGACTCGGATAAGTCGGTAATATTTATTGTACACTATTTAACTATCAAAGCGATCTTTGTCTGGTTATTTTGTGTTTAAAAGTCGTTGTTATAAACAATGCCACCGTCTTTTTCTGCTCTATGCCTGATGTTTTCTTTCCTTCGCGACCTGCTTTTCTCTCCATTCAACTCAAATTGCCCAGATATCATTAGTGTATTGCGTAGTGTAGTGTGCTATATCACCAAAGAGACCCCACGTATGTTGACTACATTTATACCTCATTAGAAAACAAAGCATACACTTAAGTTACATCCAGAAACAAATTCTCACGTTATTTTGTTCTAAGAATATTATTAACTGGCACAATATCTTCTGCTCTTACCATTTTCCTTGTCCAACAATCCACTTGTAAACAGGACCACCCAACCGGACTTACGCCTTAAGAGGGCGTGAAAGTCTATTTAAGGCTCTTACTTAGAGGTCCCTTTCTTTCTCTCAGAACTGAGGATAAAGACATGGCTCAGTACGCAGAAAAAAGGTCGGACATCCAGGGGTTTAAAATCATCTTTATTAGTATTACAATATATATACAAGATGAAAGATTGCTTGGGGTAGAGCCTGGGCCAGTCCTTTATCTCTTGATGGGGGGCCCAAGGCAAATAAGACAAAAATGTTCTATAGAGTAAAACCTCTCGTGATCACTATCAGAGTTTCTACGTATGTTGTATGGGGTTTTGTTGGAAATTTTCTGTGCTTTATTCCAGCAGTAATTGTTATGATCACTCTATAAGTCTAGATCATAGCAGGTATCTTTGATACTTAGCTATATACAACAACAGTCTTTATTGACAAATTAAAAGCACAGCGACTTCCACAAGGTCTATATATACACCGACT